AATTTAAAAACAAGGGAGTCAATTTTCAAAACTTAAGAATATTATAATTTTGGCTTTTTTTATTTGAGTGCATAATATATCTTTTTATATATTCTACAAAATTTGATATTTATGTTTTGCAGTATTAAAATTAAATTTATTAAACATAAAGTTTATGTCATAAACTGATCATGATAATTTAATTTAATGATTAAATTTTAATCAAAATACAAACTGCCAGATATTAAATTGTACTGGAGTGTACCAGATCTGTATGAGAATGCGGTGAAGTATTATTAATTTAATAGTAGTGTTATATGATAAAACATGAAACCGGTTCAGCAACTGTACACAACACAACACGCTCAGTTTGCTTTCTTTTTTTGCTAACTGGTTTGCACAAGCGATATATACAAATACATGTAATTATTATAATATATATTATATAATTACTAATTTGTACCTACAGCCCATGGATGAACAACTTAAGTATAAGAGATTTCAATTAAAATATTGCACAGTAAATAATAAAAATGATATACTTATTTGTTGGTGAATCAAAGTAGAGTTTTTTGAAGCAAAATTTACAGCCATTGTAATATAAACACCGGGCGTCCTGATTTAAAACTTCGGATATTATACAAGTAGCTGCACAAGTTTCAGAACCCATACTCTTACTTTTTCAAATTAACTTTAAACAGAGAGAATATTAGAAACAAAGATTACAAATAACCATTGGAACTGTCGCTGTTTTTAAAGTTAACGTACCATTAATAAAAGTCAAAGGAACAAAGTTTAGTGATCGCTGTATCATTGCAATTATTATTTTACTCTATTATTATTTTACTCTATTATACACTGATATATATATATTTAGATATATTTTCTTAATACGACAGGGTATTTGCGGTAACAATAATTTTGTTATGTTGTCCACCGAAACTGCAAAGACGTTGCGTCACTCTCAAGTGACATTCGGCCCTCTATCAGATCGTAGATGACTTCTAATCCAAAATCTAAGGCGTATGAATTTAAACAATTTACTTCGAGGACCAGTTGGCGTCAGTTCTCTTGATTTCGCGGCATCACTGATAAGTCACCTCCGGTAAGCAGCATTAGTCCATTCCAACAGAAAATTTGTGAGACCAGCTTTACAAATCCTCTTCCATGTTGACCGATCTTCTACACTAAAGAGGATTTGTAATGCTATATAATACTTATGTAAAGATTTATTGTTTTAAAACACGACAGAGTATTATTTCTGATAACAATTATACTTTGATTGATTGTTTGGCATGGTTGGTCGTAGTTTGGTTGATTGATTGATTGATTGATTGATTGGTTGGTTGATTGATTGATTGATTGATTGATTGATTGATTGATTGATTGATTGATTGATTGATTGATTGATTGATTGATTGATTGATTGATTGATTGATTGATTGATTGATTGATTGATTGATTGATTGATTGATTGATTGATTGATTGATTGATTGATTGATTGATTGATTGATTGATTGATTGATTGATTGATTGATTGATTGATTGATTGATTGATTGATTGATTGATTGATTGATTGATTGATTGATTGATTGATTGATTGATTGATTGATTGATAATATTTGATTCTCTAATGATTAAATTGTAAATTATTTTGGCTGTCTTAGATATGGTTGCAAAACCGATAACCAACTTTGTTTAAAAAGAAAAATAAACTTTGTTCAAGATAAGTAATCTTTGTTTCTCTTTTGATTGAAAATTCTTTTGGTTAAATTGTAAAATATTTTGGCTGTCTATGATGAGATTGTAAAACTGTTAGCTATCTTTGCTTTGAAAGAAATATAAATAAACGAGGGCAGCCGTCGGTTAAGGTGTCTTGCTTCTGATTTGATTGTTCGAATTCGTGGTTTGTTTAATTGAAGAATTGATAATTGATTGTCAGGTTCAGATTTTGAAAGTTAAATTTCAAACATGTCCGCCGAGGCTAATCTCATCGATTTTGAAAGTCAAAATGAAATCAATCTCAACAGAGCTGAAAAAAGAAAACTAATGGACAAATTGTTGGAAAAGGTGGTATTTTGTATTTATTTAATTCTTTCTTTATTTTTAAAAATTATAATAATTTATGTGTAAAGTTTTAATGCATACAACACAATTCAATCACATCTTTGCTTTTTAAATTTTATGCTATTAAAATTCAAGTAACTAATTATGCAATATTATGATGTTTTATTTTTTATTTTATAATTATATACTAGCTTTAGTTTTTTAGACTTTTTTTAGTTAGATATAAAATAAAATTTATTAATTTTATAATAATTTCTAATTCACTAATACTAAAATGAAAAAACTTATTTTTAATAATTTGGTTGTCTGTAGGACAAAACTAAATAAAACATGAATAAATCAAAGTTTAGTAAGGGTATGCCTCTGCTTAACTTGGCTTGAGTGTTAATCTTTTTATCTGTTAGGTAGACCTAAGGCAAGCAGTCAGTTAGTTAAGCAGTTAGGGACCTAACACTGAGAAAATGTTAAACTAACTTTCTTAAATAGCAATAAAGGCTTATTTCAACAATTGATGAAAAATATATTCATTTTGTGCCTTATGTTATTTGGTAATGGATCAATCAAACACTTGAGAATAATAAAGTTATTTATTTATAGCTTGCAATAATGTATCCTATTTTGTTTTGTTTTTAATCTTTGATGCAATGACAGGCACAAAGGAAATATGAAGCCAAAGAGAAGTTGAAACAAATGCAAATTGATGCCATCTTACCAGAAGTCCATCAGAAAGTTGCAGAAGAACAAAAAGTGAGTCTTGTCTTATATTATATGCTCTTGTCATATTTATTGATTATTTTGGCTGTTAATGTTGATTGTGAGTAAAAAAGCTTTTAAGGTTTGTTGTTGGATTTTTGAAATGACTTCAGCACGGGTTTCATTTCATGATTTCACATACCTGAACTTACCTGAATTTATATTGATTTGTAGCAAAAAATGAGCTCACAAATTTTTGTTGCAAATACTGTTCAAATGATTTTACTTGAGATTTTTGATTGTTGCAAAGTTTTTTTTAACAATTTTTTTTACATTCTTCAAGTTTATAGAAAATGCTTTGAAAAAGAAATTAAAAAAGAACAAAAAGTCTAAAAAGTCTAAAAAACATCACTCTCGTAGAAGTTCTGATGAAGTGAGTAGTTTGCTTTCTTATCTACTGTTTTATTCATTAAACATGAGATTTTTTAATAATTTCCACTCAGGATGAAGATAAGTGGGTTGAAAAACCAAACGATGGAGATGTGGATGATTCTAAAATAGAAAGTGCAACAAATTCAAGTACATCTCAAGATACAAAAATGGAGGTAAGCAATGTCAATTACTTTATAAACGTTTTTCTTCACTTGTTTTAAATACTTTGTATAAAATTATGCTCATTAAATTTGTGCAGTGTTTTTTTAGAAGGACCATTGTCATTGTGAATTATATAAAAAGCCAGTTGATTTTATAATTAGATCTTATAAATGAAACAATTTTAAAAAGTTCATTATATGTGCTAATATATGTAATCATCCTATTGAGTCAACGTTTTAAATCACAACCTAGTTAGTTATCTGATTATATGACTGAAATAACAATGCAAAAAAATTAGATTGCTAAAAAGGCTATTGACATTGAATGTACTTTTTAAGAAGGGTAATTTATTGGAGGCATTTGATAAATACTAAATATGCTCATTTATTTATATTATTTCCAAATTTTTTTTTTAACAAAAGAGGCAAAGTTGGATGCTGTCAAAGGAATTTGACTTCTTGATACCTCAAACAAACAAGAAAAATTCTGATCAACAAAAGCGAGAGGTTTTATTTTTCATTTGTTTCTTTTTCATGTAATGCTTTCAATCAAAATCAATTGAAATCATTTTTTGATGAGCTGATTGAGTTATTTGTTATGTAATCAAGATATATGCAATTTACATATATATAGAGCATCATTTTTCAGAAGGTGTGCATTTCAGCATTGGTAACATTTACAACTTTTTTATAGAAACTTAATGTTGAACTTCTTTTTTAAAAAAAAAACATTTCAATATTTAATTAGATTTTATTTCATTGCTTTTCATAGGACAACGCATCCGAAGAGATGGGTCAACACGCTCGTGAACTCAACCCTTACTGGAAGGGTAGAGGAACAGGTCTGCCATCTTCATCATCGTCAACTGCACTCACTAACAAACCAGAGATGAGCAAGACCATCTCAGCAGGCAATGATGGAGGGCTGGCCTGGTGGACCAAGGCCCTTAAAAGATGCAAAGAAATGGCAGAGGAACAAAATCGATCTGTAGAAGAAGTTGCTGCTGAGAGATATGGGGTAAGTTGAGAGTTGTTAAGTGAGTTGAGTAAGAAAGTGAAGAGATGTAGAGTAAGTTGTGGGTGGTGTTTTTTAATCTTAATTTTGAATTTTTCATCAATCTTCTAAATTAGCTTTACTTTATAATATACTTTACTTTATATGCATAAAAGTCCTTGGATGTATTAAAGAATAGAATCAAAGAGGCTGAGTTGTTTGTTGCATCCAGTCAGCCATTCCACACTTCTAGAAAATCCATGTATCCCAGTAGAACTTTCCAGAAATCAAATTATGATTATGATTACGATGTCTCAACTCGTAAATCTAATTATTTTGACAATAAAGTGGATAGTAACAGAAAACGTACCTACGATTCTGAGAGGAAAGTTTCACCTCGCAGATGGAAAAAAGATGCCACTGGAAAACGTGAACCTGATGATGTCATGGACAATAAAAAATACAATGATGCAAACAAACATGTCGGTATTTGCAAAGACAGCTGCAGCTCTACTAAAGTTAGAAAAGGTAATCATCCATATTTATTTGCTATTTTATTTCCTCTGGATGCATATATTTTAATATTATTATTATAATTAATATAATATTAATATAATATAATAATTAATATAATTATTGATAATTTGAATTATTTTTTAACAAGTGGATAGAATGCTAAAGGCGTTATCGTCGTCATCATGCTCATCATCAGATGCTGAGGAGGAAGTAAGAAACGAGAAGTCAGATTCCTCAACGGCCAGCAGTGTTCCCGTTAAGATTTTGAGTAATGAGGAGAAGAACAAGTTGTCGGCCAGCATATTGAAAGCTGAACTACTAGGAAACATGGTGATTGTTCTATTTTTGTGATTTCGTTTTCTATAATTGCACAGTCAAATTTGTTTATTCAATGTTATCATTATTTCACACCATCTAAATTTTTTTGACACTGTTTCTTTTTTTGTAGGAATTAGCATCAGAGTTGAAAAAGCGTTTAGATGCTTCAAATAAATTATCTATTGCTTCCCAATCACCTGGTTCTAAAGAAAGAAAGAAAAATGTGGGCAGAGATGAAGATGAAGATGAAATATTGATGATGAGAGACATGAAGGGTAACGTCAGACCTTACCCAGAGCAAAAGCATCATGCAGAAATTGATGGTGGGAGAAGGAGGAAGAAGCATAAGGTGATGCAAAGGATGTTTGTATGTGTTTGTGTATGTTTGTGTGTGTGTAAGTGCGTTTGTGTGAGTTCGTTTCATTTTACCTGTTGGCAAATAACCTGAATAAAATGATTTCTATCGTTTATAATGGTGCCAATTATATTTAAATAAGAGAGATTTTAACCAATTAGAAAAGTTGACAATGTTGAACAAATTTTAAAAACATATAGGTGGAAACTCACAAAGATGGAGTGAGAGTGAAATATTTTGAAGATGATGACAGGCATACAATGAAATCATTGGTTAGTCGATATTTCTTTCATTCAAATAAACAGTTCAGTTTCAATGTAATTTTTTAAAAATTACAGTTAAAAGTAATGTTATTTTTGCTTTCAGTATGAACAAGAAAAATTGAGAAGGGACTGGGATGGTGATGCTGCTATGTTCAACAAACTGGCTAGCAAGGTTAGTCACCAATTTACTTATGCTTATTTTAAAATAAATTTAATAACTTGATGCACAATGCACTCTATGCACAAACTTGTCTGTCTAGTTTAGTGCATTCGTATCAAAATCCCTTTGATGCATGGGTGAATACTAGTGAATCACATCAAAATCCCCGAAGCATCGAAAATATTCCTATACTAGTTTTTTTCTTTTTTCCTTCTTGACAATGAATTTTTAATTTTCTTTGCATTGAATTTTTAATTTAATCCCATCTCCAATTGGCATCAGGATACCCTACCTGAATCACAATACTGAATTAGGAGTTTTTTTGTTTCTCAATCGAAAAATACTTTTTGTTGATTTATGCATAATTTGTAGAAAAGATTGTTTTTATTTGTAATTTAATTTTACAATCACATATAAATGACACATATTTTGAATATTTCTTTCAAATGTCAATAAGAGGTGGCCCGGCCACACGTTTTTGCACATTTACCTGGCATAATTGTGATAAAAAATGTTTCTTCAGGCCATGCAACAACTTGATGATGACGAATACGCCATAGATGATGAACTGTTGGCGAAGGAATCGAGAAAGAAATCTGATTTGTTCATAGAATCAAAGCAAAAACAGAGGGCAATCATTGGTATAAATATACATTTTGTTTCACTTCAAATTTATTAGATGTTTGCCACTATTGTAGTTTTGCTAAATTGCAAATATTTAATTCGATAAAATAACGCAGATCAAAAGAAAATGGCGCAAAAGATTGAGAGTTGCCAGTCATGTTTTAACAACACTGAAAAACACCTCATTGTATCCATTGGCAGCAAGGTTTCTAAAGTTTATCAACTCGACTTTATCCTTCATAATTCAATCACCCTAGACTTTGATACATTAATTTGTTTCGATATAACTTTCGTCTTATTAACTAATATAAATATAATCATTTATATATGTATGTACACTTTAAACGATGTTCATGGCTTGTTTACATATTTAAACTTAAGATGAGACGTAATATTTTGTAGGTGTACCTCAGTTTGCCACGTTCCAAATCAATGGTTGATGGTCACTGCCTTATTGTTCCCATGCAACACACTTGCCAGTCCAACAGCTGTGACGAAGATGTCTATCAAGAAATAATGGTTCGAAACTATTTTAATATTGTGTTTTTCTTTCAAATTAGAATTTTCAATTATGCAGTTAACTTGTAATATTCAACAATCTTAAAAAGTAATTTAATGATACTCTTTAAAGATTGTTTTAAGCAGTGCATATGTTCAAGAGTTGTTCGACATAAATGTATAAATGATTGAAATTTATTTTACTAACAAGTAAAAACTTATCCAACTCTTATCCCAAGGCTTACAAAAAAAGTTTAGTTGCTATGTTCAAAGAAAATGATGAGGATATTGTCTTCATGGAAACATGTAAGAACCTCCCATCTTACCCACACTTGACGATTGAATGCATACCATTGCCTCGAGAGGAAGGTGACATGGCTCCCATTTACTTCAAAGTCGGTTATCCTGTCCTTATTTCTGTGCTATGGCTAAATTGAATTCTTACTCACTTTAATTTAACACTTCATTTTATAATCTTTGTCACAGAAAGCGTTAATGGAATGTGATTCAGAATGGAGTCAAAACAAGAAACTAATTGAAATCAAAAATAAAACCATCAGACAATCGGTAAATGCAATTTTATATTTTACATTTTGATGAGTATCAACGTTTTTCAGCCATTTTTTTATTTTGTAAGTTTGTGTTATGGCTAATTAATAGTATATCTATGCGTCGTATTTTCAGGTTCCCACGGGATTTCCGTACTTTCATGTTGCTTTTGGGCTAGACGAAGGTTATGCTCACGTTATTGAGGATGAAAACAAGTTTCCTCAATATTTTGGAAGGGTAAGTTCACCAATCTTTTGTTTCACAAACTTTTGTTGATTTTGTAAGCAATTGAAACCATTCTGTGTAGAGTTTATTTTGATAAATGTATTGTATTATACGGTGTTAAAAAATAACGAACATACGTCAATGTGTTGTACGATTAAGATATATTTTCTCATGCAGGAAGTGGTTGGCGGCATGCTGGACATCGATGCTACTTTATGGAGAAAGCCAAGAATTGAAAAGATTGAAGAACAGATTATTAAAGTCACGAATTTTGCCAAAAGATGGAAACCGCATGACTTTTCATTACCGAAATCTAAATAACTTTTGTTTGTTAAATATTCCATTATTTTGCGTGACTTTTTAACGTCAAGTGTGTTAACGTGCTTTTATGTGTGTTTGCCTGAATACAATAATTTATTTCCTGAAGTGTACTTTCTCATCATTTATTATCAACGTACAGAGCATTTAGTTCGCTTATCAAATTCGGTTCTAATATTTCACAAAATGAGTCGTGAAATGCTTGCGAAGTTGCGAACGCCTTTTAAAAGAAAGTAACTATTAATTTTTTTGTGCGTGAATCAATAGGTTCCAGGAAAACCTATCAACATCTAATCAGTCTAGTGACAAAGCAGTCGGATCATGCTTTAATTTCTTTGGGCCGTTGTTCCAAACTAATTATTAGATCCTTAACATGCCAAGGCTGCGATGTCGCCAACCAAGCAGTGGCCTTTCTACTTTGTAATCGACATTTGCAGCATATTCACAAAAGCTTGCTTTTTTGTGGGTTTATGAATTTATGTTTCAAAGATAACACAAACTTACAAAAATTGTTTTTTGGGCTGGTATTTAATGTTATTACATTTAATAAAAGGCTAGACGGTGTAGTGGTATAGTATAGTGTCCGTTTGACCGGATTGAGATGCAAAAGATCTCAGCTTATGGTACATGTACGATGCGTCGTTTTGCTCGTATACTTATGTATACGTGCGTCCTGTGAACGTGTTAATTTGAATCCAGTAGCGCCTTGGGGATTACGTTGTAGGGCAAAATAACTACAAATGAAGATTTTCCTTCTCATTTTGCGTTGAGATCGCGATGGGTTATGGTGCATTATTGTCTACAATTTGGCCATTGTTGTTGTAGCATTTGTTGCAAGAACCAGTCCGAGATCTGGTAACAATATTACTTTACCGACGGCGTGTCCGCAGGGCTTTACACTTTGCAGATGATCTTCCTTTGATAACAGACTTCCTGTCCTGTGGAAATACCAACTTGTGTTGCATCTTCATAATTCGCCTCAGGTTTGCCCTCAGTTGCTTACATCTGATTTACTTTTTCTTGATGGTTTCTAAATAAATGCTGACATCCGCCGCCAATATTCGAAGATTTTCAGTGATATTTAACGTCGTCGATTAAACAAGAATCACAATAATTGATTGATATGGTCTAAATAGCGCATTTTTTTAATTTTAATAATAAAAGATTTGTCACTACGTCTCTACATATTATTTCAAACGATACGGGACAGATACGTAGAGAAAATTTTACATATGGTTAATACATTAAGATTGGAAATAAACGAATCTCCAATTCATCCCATAAGGCACAACAAATTTGAAATTACTTATTCAGTTCGGGAATGCGTTAAATAATAATAAATGATTTAACAATCCGTGAATAGAAACGTGGTGGTCAAACCATCCTAGGTTAGCATGGCAAAATCAACATATTACTACAACATTCGCTTCGCCTCTTGACTAAACTGCTTTCACATTTGCCAATTGTATCTAGCGCTCAAAATATAAATTTGAATCAAAAGCGAAATTCTTTTTGTTTGAAGATAAGAATCATTGTCGAAATATTGCACTTTAAAGACTAAAGATTGTGAAATGCATATCTTGGATATCAATCAGTTCCAAAATATTTCTGACCAAAATGTATAGGCGGATGTTCGTGAACCTCTGAAGTAATTAACTTTACATTGGGAAAACTTTTAAAAACTTTTTGGATACCTGTAGGATGAAAATAATTAAAACTTTACAATATTAGGAAACCTAAAAATTTAACAATACAATTTCAACAGTGAAACCTTCTGGAGTAGAAAATAAAGTGAGCACAATTATTTTATCTTCAGAAACAGAATTTTCTAGAAGTACTTCGATAGCACTCAAAACAGAGTTACCCGAATCTGTAATGTAAACAATCACCATTGTCAACTCATAATTTTAATATTATCTAGTGTGCTGTGCAAGTACCATCCAATGCACTGAGAAAATTAATTGTAGGAATTAAGATCTACATGAAATCAATCAAGATCCACATAAAATCTTAGCAATTTCTGTATTGATTTTTTTTTTCATTTGTCAACCTACACTTCTAAAACTAGATATAACTAGAATACAAAATTGTTTTTCTACAAATCGGTGTAAGCCTAGATAAAAGACAAATAAGGCTCATTATTAAAATTTATAGTGCAGTTCTAAATAACAAGAACCTATTTTTTAAATTATAAATCCATCATTTAAATTTGAACATAACAAATCAATTGCATTTTAGCATTTGTACATATAATTTTATCTTATTTTTTGGACCTTAGAAATTGCTTATATTTCTTAGGTAGTGCCAGCATACTTAAGTTTGCAATCTTCCCATGTATAAATAAATAAATAAATCCTCAGTAACATATTAACTATTTATTAGGCTTGTTAGAAAATTTCATTTTAATCATGTTATTGTTGTCATTATCATTTAGTTGATGGTTTCATACAAATAATATTCTGCAATTTTTTTTAATGAATTGCTTGGTTCAATTTTAAAGTAGTTACTGAGTTTAATGCAATTGAAAAACTGCTAACACAAAATAGGATACATCAGTAGAACTTTTCTTCTATAAATATCAGATGGAAATTTCGCATAAAAAACTTTAGCTTCCCTAGTGTCCTCGTCTTTACTGACAAGTATCTTGCCTATTCTGATAGATCTACAGCAATCACGAAGTCCTTGCTCCATTGCTTCACCTTGATAAATTAACAGAAAACTAAAATGATATACAAACTTGTATAGCACATTATGATTTGACGTCAAATATACAATTTAACAGCTACTTCTCTAACCACTTCTCATTATGCTGACACCACAGTTGCCTTCTTCGTAAACAAGTCCTTCATAATTTTCACCTACATTGAAATGTTCGAATGAACATAAAAGAGTTTAAATTAATGACAACACTAATGAGAACATGAGTTCAATCAACCATCACATAACAAAATTTAAAAAAATTAAAATCATGGTGCAAACATGTTCACATCGATATTGTCATATATTAACTATCTGCTCAAAAACTAGAGTTATTAAAATAAAACAAACCAGTGGGTGTGACTACAACATGTCTATTATATGGCAGTTGATTGAGGCTTTCTTCTACAATTAAGCGAATCTTTTAGAAACAATTTTTTTTATACTCTATGGTTAGTTGTAAAACTTTTCAAAAACAAAAGTTAACAAACCACAAAAAAACAACACTTAGAAATTTGATGATCTAAATTCTAACCAGTCTATCAGCATGAAAAATAAAATCGCTTCTTGTTGAATTCCTGTTTCAAATACCAAGTAATAGTAGTTATTAAATTGTAATACATAAAATGAATTTTTTGAAAATCTATTTAGGACAGTAGAAATGTTATAAATTATTAATGAAATGACAGGCAAGCAAAATGATATGCAGTGAAACAGATTATTTTGAACAATAATTTAATACTGAAATATTTAAATTTTAATTTATTTAATATTAATTTTTATTAACATTGATTGAATTATCAGATCTAATAATAATAATAATAATATAATAATAAAAGATAATTTTATATAAAAATAAATATATTAATTTCTTCTAATTGATATACATTAAATTTTAATGTATATCAATTAGAAGAAATTAATGATTAAAAAAGATAAAATAAATAACAGAATACCTGTCTCTTATAACAGTCTGCAACTCTTTAATTTGGTTTGTTTCTTTCAAAATTATAAGGTTGTTGGAGAAATCAAGAGAAGCATTCATTTTGAAAATTTTGATTAGGTTGGTATCTTATGAAAGTAAAATGAATAACAATAAACATAATTAGATATTTAAAAAAAACGATTATTCAATCTACAGCTTTTTTTAATTTTTTTATCTAAAAATTTGAAAAGTAGACCCAAGGTTTGATTTAATGTTAATCTTTAATTAATTTATTAATCATGTTTAATAAAATTAGATTTTGAATTTCACAAATTTAATTAAATAACTTTTTTGGATTAACATACTTTGCTGATACTCATACAATAATTTTATAATCAATTCATTTCTTTTTTTACTAAATCTTTTCCTCTGAAAGTTCTTTTATAATTTATTATGTGCGCGTGTAAACAGTATTCATTGAAAATTTGTTTTTAAATCAGGATATTAAAATTCTTCAGAAGTAAGTAATAAGTCTGGTGATGAGTCTCTAGCCTAAATCAAGACCTAGAGTAGGAGAGACAACCCCCTCTATCTCTCTAACTAAGCCTAACTAATTATGCCATAGTTTATATTATTATTATACCATAGTTACTATGGTATAATAATATAACATTATTTATATTACTACTAAAAAAACTAACCCTCAAACTTAAAACAACAGGCTTAACTACGCTTAACTTTTTTTATTTAAGTTTCACCCAAGGTTATTAAAGTTAAAAATAAACATAAAATTAATAAATTAACAAATAAACTTAACAAATGGATTAAAAAATAAAATAAAATAAATTTATTTATCCTCAATGAAAGTGAGATAGGCGGACCATGCGTAAAACTACGACGATTCTACAAAAAATTCAAAAAATAAAAAACAACCTAATTCACATTTCGCAATCGAAGAGTGATGTGACGACCACTGAAGTAATCTGATTTAAATATACACTGAAAATACAACTATCTGATTTAAAGAGCATATATCAGATATATATATATATATATATATATATACGTGGATAGGTGTTTGTGTATATAATGTAGATATATATATTTATGCATATTTATTTATATATTATTTAAGGCCGTTTGAGTACGATAATAAAAAAATCTTATTGCTCATTAGCGTGACTGAGTTGGCTCGGCTGCTAGAAGCGCCATGCTTTGCCATGATGTTAATTACATGAAGGTCTGGATCAAATCCTTATCATGCCTGTTCGAAACTCTGAGACTACAAAGATTTGCAAAAGCCGCTCAATATACTTTTTTTTCAAGTTGCATGTGTTTGATAAACAACCACAAAAATGGTTTCCCCAATGATCGTTTGCATCATTTTGATTACGCAACAATCAACTACTAAAAGCACATTACCTAATAAACTTATAGTACAGAATACAGAAAAAAGTAATTGAGCTGGTACAAGTCCATTTTATCTTGTTTATTTTAAACTTTAAACTTTATTTGCTTGACGTCTAACTTCATAATTAGTGAATAAACCTTAAACACAAATATATGCATATAATCATATATAAAAATAAAATAAACAAAATGAACTTAAAAAAATGAAATCTGCAACAACAATTAAAATTGAAGCCAGTGAAAAATAAAACAAAAAATTATTATGCAAACTATAAATAAAATAAAATATAGCACGTCTTTTGTTAAAGCTTAAAATGACAAATTAAGTTTTTAATTATTTGTTTAATAATAAGCGCTTTTCATTAATTTCAAAACCTAATAGGCGGCGTTTTGACATAAACCAATCAAAAATGACTAAATAATCACGTGACTTGATATTCGCGTTAGCTAAAGTTGTAGCGGCGTCGTTTAAGGTTCAATAAATATTAGTTTAATTTGTTAATCTCGAGTTGGATTAGCTTATTTTTACAATGGCCACAAAAGTTGAAGATAAACCAGTTTCTAATGATTCCAAAATAGCGAAAACGGTTAGTTTCCATCGTTTATCATATTGACATCAAGCTTGCCATTTAGTCCCGGTTGTTCGAGGAGCGCCAAAAGGCGAAAATTTCCATTTGGCATCCGCCGTATCTAAACATTTCATAGCGTAATTTGTTCATAACTTTTTGATCTTTCATCATTAAATCTCATTAAATATTTTGACAGAATGATGTCGAAGATGCGGATGCCGAATCTCCAACAAAAAAATCAAAACTGGAAGTGAGTTTCCACTTATTTACTTTTCACAGTTTTTTGGGTATTTACTTCATTCATTATGTTATAATTTGTAAACATTTTCACAATGTCAGGAAAATACACCAGGAAAAAAAAGTGGGCGAAAGAAGAGGTCAGATACAGACATGATTGCAGAAGGTGACAAAATTATTTATTATTTTTCATAATAATCAGTTATAAATATTCTAGCCAATTAAATTAATAATTTGCAATTTTAAATTATTTATATGATAGCCAACAACAACAACACCCATTAGACAACATTTTCCCTGAGATCGGGGGTTGCCGTTTGGCTAACTATGATGAAACTGAAATACCCCTTGACGCCATTCACATCTGTCACTCGCCTCAGTATCACGCAACTCCGCTTTTACTCTGTCCTCCACCTGCTCTCTTCATCCCAATCGTGGACGACCCCTTCCTATCATTCCTTCGAACTCCAACACTCGCCTAATCCCGAACCTTTCATACCTTCTCAACACATGTCCATACCACCGCAATCTCGATTTCCTCCTTATCAATGTCACAATGTCCTCATTCAGTCCTATCATCGACATCATTTCTTACATTTGAAAGTGCCTTCCACCTTTTCCAGTGCCCCCCCTCACATCACTACATCTCTTATGCACCCACTTCTGACATCCTATATATACACAATACCGAGTTAGCCTTCACTCTCCTGTCACATACCCCACAGGGGTCTATTTTACTTATCACTCGCTCCCCGCCTTCCCCACTCACCATTACCTTCGTCTTACCAATATTAACTTTTAACCCTTTCTTTTCAATAACACTTTTCTATGATAGCCAATTGAATAAAAATTTATATTGTATATGATAGTTGGGTAAAAAATTTTAAATTTGCATCTTAGGATTGCTAGATAAACTTAGAACTTTTGAATATAAATTGTCTGGTGGTCAGTTAAATAAGAATTTGTAAATTGAATTTGTACTAAGATTAAACTAAAGATTTGTAAGTTTGGCAATGATACATGAATAAAACTTTTTTCAAATGATAGCTAAAGCCTTATATGGTGAGCTGGACACTTCTGGAGGACGAAGCTTAAGAAGAAGATCAGAACCCAAACCTGTCGAAGAAAAGAAAAAACCAACTCCTAGGAGGGCATCAAAAGTAATATTTTTTGTTAAATCGTTAATGGTGTAAAGCAAAAAGTAATATATAACAAATTTTCATTTTAGAAAAAGGATTCTGAAAAAGAAACAGCTGAAGAAGCTAAAGACAAACCAGAAGAGAATGATGATAAAGAGGAGGCTAAAAATGGGGATGAGGGCAAAAATAAAAAAGAGGAAACTGAAGACAAGCCACAGAACAATGATGAAAAATCTGATAAAGCAACAACGGAAGATGATAAACATAAGGATGAAACAAAAACTGATTGATGGACCTTGGCAACACTTTATTTTAATTTTTCATTTAATTATATTAAACATTAACTGTTGAAAACATTAAATGTTTTTATCTTATGTAATTTTGCAGCAGTTTACTGTTTGTTTTTTAAAATTTCCCTTTCAGGACATTCTGATAATTTTATTGTTAAAAGTAACTTATATTTTTAACTGGTGTGACTGTATTATGTACTTGTTTATGCATAAATATGTTACACGTGTAACTAAATTCTGAAGTTTGAGTAATAAGTCACAAATGGCTTGTGTATATATTTATCCATTTAGCCCTGTTCATTTAATGGCCATTTAATCAACGCATCTGTGTGCCTGGGTTGATTGATAACTAGATTCGAATGAATGGTGGTTGGTGTTTATTTAAATAGATAACATTTAGGTCCTATTAACATTTACAATGTTTTTTGAATGAAATTTTTTAATATAAAGTTAATGGTGTTGCCGTGTTCTTCTAGTTGTTGATCATGCTAATCAAGTAGCCATTAGAAGTGGTCGCGTTCATCTGAAAAAATTTATTAATTGCATTTGTTTACATAAACTGGGTGTGCTGGTGATTACCTCATTGGTATGGTGGTTGAGTGCTAGCCCTAGCGTTGTCTCGGCGAAGCCTGATATCTTGGATGCAATCCCTTTTGTTCTAATGTCATACAATACAACCTGCATTCAATTATAATTTTTTATCACATAAACATCTCTTCATAAATCTCGCTTACACATTTGTCTTCAGATCCTGTTGCTACGTAGTTTTCCGTATTAAATATCGTCTTGCAGGAGTGTATTTGATTTTTGTGCCCTTTGAAACATCTGATGCATCTGTGAAGAATTGTTATAGTTAAAGTAATAATGATCACTAATTTTATGTACTAAACTCTCTGGTCCTCAAGTCCCACAACTTTATGCAATCACTGGCAGCTGATGTTAGGAACAGGTTGTATTGGTGATCAGAAGATGATCCATTGTTTGGTTCCTGTATTTGTCAAGTATAAGGTGTTGAATTTACAAACATTATTTTCTTAAGTAGTTCACAGAGTTGCTCCTTTGGTACTCAATGTTTACGACAGCTGAATACTTTATTTTTATTATTTTTTGGTTTCCATCCAGCCAAATTTTAGAAAATAAAACTCTTGGAAGGGGATTAAATGAAACAAGCTGTGTTTAGTTGTTTCACGTTTCGTGGTAATTTTTTGATTTTTAAGGTGCCTTTTAAAACAAACTTTACATTTTGATTAGTTTGGTTTAAAGCTACAGTGAATGTATATTTAGCATTTATTGTTTTTCATTTACCGTATACATATACCAAAAGATACATATATGTATCAAAATGATAATAATTAAACCGTAAATTGTTCTATGGTATGTATGCATCTTTCATGGGTATTGGATTTCTGGGTTATGACTGAGCCAACATTAAAATCTATGACTGCAATTGATTTATTTGAGCCACAGCAAAGGCCAATATCTGAAATGCAAAAGGTTTTGATTACAAATTAGGTTAGCGTATCCGCCAAAACAAAATTGTAAATATGTTGCTTTATCTTTGTAAATGTTAATGCTTAACTCATTAGAAAAAAAACTCAACATGAATAGAAAGAGTTCACTGCACTAAAAGCTGAAATATTTTGAAATTCCGACATTTTTATTGTCTTTATTTGTTTATATTTGGAGTTCGTTATTTGTCTGAAAAATAAAAGTTTAATTATTGATATTATTAAGAAATCTCAACGTTATTATAACACATTTATATTAACCAAATTCAGCATCCATTGCTATTAATATGAATTAATTTTATAACAAACAAAAACACATAATCAATCATTCAATCAACTAGATTTTAAAAGAATCATTTCCGCGATGTTCAACAGCGCTCCTCATTGACTTTTACAAAAAGATTGATTTTGATTTTTGAAATCCGCTCTGAACTTCGTAAGTGAAGAAGTAGTTAGAGAAGGAGGTGAAGATTTCCAGAGAAAAGGGCCAGAAGAAGCAAACGCAAATTTAACATATGAGTGCTTGAAAGGAATTAAGAAGTAAGAGAAGAACATCGTAAACCGTAGCATTTAGGTTTAATTAATATATCTAATAAGTACTTGCGAAATAATTTAGGTTGAGACCTGTACATCGATATGCAAATTTTTTAAATAATTCCATATTTTATAGGTAGCCTGTGTAAGACAAAAAGATATGGAGATATAAAGAAAAAAGTGGGGTACGAGCAAAAAAAATGGTATGAGTTAAAAGCTTTATTTAAAGGATAGGATCAGGAAAACAATAGTAGAGCGAGTTACAATTATCAATCCTAGATAAAACTAATGAAAAGAGAGGATCGTCAAGAAAAGACAAAAGTTAAAATCAAAGATAAAGCCTATACAATGAAACTTATGAGAAAAACCAAGAGTTTAAAAATCAAATAAGATAATGGAAGGAATAGTAATAGTAATAAAGCGCTTAGTAATAAAAAATTTGTGGTTGTAAAAACTCTCTTTGGCTTGGTTCGAAGAAGTAACAAATTAATAAAAATTTTATTTTTAAATTTATAGTTTTAAAAGCGAGGATTTTATCCAAATTTTTTTCTCACAAAAACCGCTTCATTTCGCTAAACTTGATGAATTTCAATTAAGTTACAAAATAGAGCCATGCGGATGCGTTTTATTGATTACCTTACATTGAGAATACCTCAAAAGTTATCAACCATGGAAAAACTTAATTTGTTTTAGGGCGGAAGCTTAATTAACGCAACGTAGAAGCTGAGAATATAAATGATGAATGAAACATATCTAGCTAATATTTTTTACCTTTTGAGATCAGATTTGATATTATCAATATGGTAGCTGTAAAGAACTATTTCATTTCCACTAGCTATGATAATAAATTTGTCAACATAATAAAACTGACAGTGGCTCAGAGATTGGGAAAATGACATCTGATCGATGAAAAAATTAACATAATACTAACAATTATTAAAATGATAAGATAGTGCTTATCTATTGGAAAATTTTACAAATGAACTTGTGATTTAGAAGAAACATTATCGTCTTTCAAATTTCCGTGGGGCGAACTAATAGATAACACAGGTGCATCGTTTATGGTTGAATGAATTTGAGCTGTTTTCTCGTTACAGATGATTGCTAACGTCGATGTATGACTCAAATTCATTTGAATAATTGGCGTTTTGTAAACTGAAAAATAATTTTATTTTCATTCATTTCTTGCATACATTATGTAATTATGTAGTAACTTACCAGGAATAGATTTCTCAATAATCAATGCGTTACCTTTGATATATTTGAAAAATGTAATAGTTCCACTAGCATCACTACAAACGCCCACTTGACAATTATCTGCAAAGTATTACTGCTATTTATATAATAAATATATATTACATAAATCTATATTGATAAAGCAATGAACGTTAATGATATACAAAATAGACAAATGAAAAAAGTAAAATATAGCCGATGTAAAAAAAAAAAACTTCAGTGGAACGTGCCGCAGCGTAGAAAAAATTCAGATACAGTAGCGAATTCAGAATTTTACGGTAGGAGAATGATATCTAAAACTCTAAAATGGATGACAATTTTTCGCTAGTTACGTAATGTGGAAAATACGGAATTATGACGTAAAATATTTTACATAGTCTTCAATAATTTCTATCTTTTATTGTCTAGTGGGGAGATGCATCCTCTATTCTTCCAGGATCGCACTGGATAGAGTAAAAAGTAGGCTGATAGTTTTGTCATCATTGCCATCATTATCATCATTGAGTCGGCGTCAAAAGATGTGACATGGTATGAGAGGCAACAACAGTTAAGCAGGATAACATGAAGGATGAATTTTAATAAAACAAAAATATTTTAAGATGCTAAATTAACAAGAGTTCTCACTGAAATGATGTTCTAGAACTTTCTGAAATCAGTGTATAATTAAATGTGCTGCATAGCAACACCACTAATTTAGAATTTTTTCAATCTATTAATTTTTTGCTGATTTTGTAAGACTTTTATATTTCTAATACTTTTCCAAGGTTTTAGTAGGAGAAAAACAATTAAAATCATTCACGAAAAATAATGTTTTTAAGCATCATCTAAATCACATTTGTATATAATTTAAGTTGATTGAACACTCATAAAAGCCGATAAATTTAAAGTGGTGAATCAATGTAACACTCCTAAATATAAAAAATTCAAAATTGAAGTAAAAATGCTTTTTAAAAAACGCTTTTAATTTATTTATCTAAAATCGAAATTTTCTTACTCACATTAACAAATATTAAAAAAAGTTATCTACTTACTAAAAATGCGAACATTGTTAACAGCTGCATTCGTGTGAGATATAAGCAAGGTCGATTTTTTGCCAGTTGAAGAAGGGGTTGATGGTTCCCGAACGTCTGCTCTTTTCATCTTCGCACTAAACATGTTGTTTATTAAGATTAACTGTTGACAGAATAATGATAATTAATTGTTAGTGAATATAAATAATATAACGGGAGATAACGGAGCATTTTTGAGAAAAGTTAATTCAAGGAAAAATTAACTTTCATAGTTTTAAGAAAATTAAATAAGAAATAAAAGTTTTGATACTACCAACCATATATCGATGAAATAAAATATTAAAAGTGCTATCATAAAATTTAAACTCGAATATCATAAGTGAAATAAACTAAAATAAGTTATTGGTTAAATTCAAATTGTTTCAAACATTTAAAATACATTTAAAAGATTGAATAAGACACAAGATTGTGTAGAGTTCAGAGAAACAAGTCAAAATTATTGTTGTCATCAAAACGATTTGTAGTTCGAATTATGATGAAAAAAAATTTCTAACTCATTAGGTTTTCTACTTTCAGATTTCGATCTCTGAAAAACGTTGAATTTCTTCATCCTGCAACATAAAAAATATAACTATTTTATTTTAATCCATGCCGCGAACTCAACTATTTTTATAAATATTTTTTGACAGGCTTCAATGCAAACATTTTATACAAAAATCATTACACTAATTTTTTTATTTATATTAATTCAAAATTCAATTCATTAGTGAAATTATTTTGATTGGTTTAAGACAGTGGCGGATCTAGATATCTTTGACGGGGGAGGGGCAAAAATTTGAAAATGTTTAAATTTTCACTAAGGAAGCCAACATTTTCCCGAGAGGGGGCAAGATTTGTGGTAGTGTGGCTGACGACTTTTTTTTGCTTATTGCTTATCACGTTACGTTCAATTTTTGGTTGATTTTACGCATAAAACGGTCCGTTTTCTGACTTTAATTAAAAAACTGCTCCCAACAGGGAGGGGGCAGGCCCCCCGGCCTCCCTAGATCTGCCACTGATTGAAAACGAACATACTGCTTGTTGTTGTACCCAGATGACTTGATATTATTATGGAATGTTAAGGGAAGTTTTTCTACAATTCTACCTTTTTTATCTAATCCTCCAAATTTATTTACTGCTGCAAATGACATTTAATTAAAACTGAATTCAAAAGAATGTACTTGTAAACGTTGGTAACAATGATGTTGCTTGCTTATATGATATATATAATGAAAAGTACGTACAACGATGGTTGTTTCCGATGCTGTTTGAGGAATTTTTAGGAATTAAATGACATTTCAGTATGGAGTTACTTGTTAGCGATTGTCTGTGGAGTGGGAGGATCAGAAATGATAGTGACTTTCAAACTAATAAATTTTAGGTTCCCATTAACCTTGAAACTGTTGTCAAGCGATTGTCACCCATTCCATTATCAAATTCAAAGTTAAATGACAATATACAAATTTCTTTCTTGACAAATTTGCTTACCAAAATCCAAAACTGTAAAGATTTCATTAAAAAAAAGTAAAAATGATAATGTCAAAAAGCACAAACTTTGTTTTGGACACGTGGGCACTGCGTTATAACTAAATTTTTTACAGAAGACAAACCACAGCTTTTACCAGCAGAGTCTGAATGAATTGTATCTGATCATGAAAATTAATTAATAATGGAAAACTTTCAGATGTGCAAAATGTGCGAACTGTTTGTTTATTGTGTAATAATGAACAATAACTTTATCATTTTTATTAAAAAAAACAATTTTATCGACAAAAGTTTATTGAAAAAATAAAATTAAAGCCATAGAATAACCTTCGAAAAAGAGATTGACGACTAAATCAAATGACATTGCGTTAAATATTAACAGCCGGTCTGCCAAACCAATTATCAAACAAGTTTTCACACACGTTAATTCCCTAACAATGATAAAGAGAATACAATGATGATGACAGTAATTTTTTTAAATCATTCAATCAGCTAATGAAAAAAAAAACTATTAACGTTTAAAAAATTTAATATTCTGAAGATGTTATCATCAACCATAGGTGATAATTATGACAGATTTATGCATGTATAGAACAATAAACCTATTTTTTTTGTTCTTCATCATGCAGCTCTGACATACGCAGAACCGCTTACTTATCATTCCTGTATATAAACCATCGGGCCATAAAGACTATACTATCCACACCACACGATGTACTACCCATTATACATGCACGCGCAAGCACCGCATCATACACACATGGCTTATGATAGTCTTTGAGTTTCGGACCGACAATGTTCGAAGCAGGCCATTGCGTAACTGCCCGAGACATGGCACTTTTACCGATTGAGCTAACTTGCCGACTTGAATGGTAAATTTTACCGAGGTTTTCACTCGGCAATTAGACTTATAATGGCACCACATATCCTAATTACTCACTGTCCTATATGAATAAATTAGCATAACTTTCGTTTTACGTTAAGTATACACTTAAATTGCACACAGAGAACGTTTGAACCTTATTAAGTATAAATATTACCTTAACAATTCAGAATCGCATTCTGGATTGTTTCGATGATCCTCATCAGAATTAACATTCGACTGTATGAAAGACTGCTGCCATTCTTTGAAAGAAGAAATTGTGCAGTAGTACATGAACAGGGTGGTCGGTTCACTAACCATCGGCTCTACAGGCTCGTCATATTTCAGTTTGTCACATTTTTCAACTGAGAAGATTAATTTTTTTAAATTGATCGATGATATATTTGATACTATTAATTAAATGCAAACTTTTTCTTGCTGGGTCTTGAAAAGGTAAGGAGATATTGATGATTTTATTTAAATCTAATTTGTGAATGCAAATATATTCCCCAGAATCAGTTATCACAAAGAACCGTACCTAAAATATATATTGAACATTGTAAACATAAACCTTTATCGAGTGAAGATATTCAATGTGAATATATCAATGAAATTCACAAGTTGAAAACCCCAGATAAAGACGAGACCGGCTTTAACCTGGTTAAATTACTTGGAACAGATGATGACAAGCCGGGCTCCAAGTAGAAAATGTGTTTGAAGAAAATGGATTTGCAATGAAAACGACTTTTTACCAACTCATTGATTTGTCAATACATATCTAACAGACCAGGTCTGATATTAAATGATTTTGCAGTGGATTTAAAGTGGAATTATGTGTTGTGAATTTTTGCGGTTGCACGGCTGGACCCAAAAAAGCAGCACAAGCACAATGCAACGTCACTGGTGATGTTCAAACACACATAACTAGAATAAATGATTCAAACATAAATCGGCTTTAAATATATAATTTGAATTATGTATATAGGTTAACAGATTGTTTCGTTGAGATTACCAGTAAAATTTGTAACTGAATTAATAAGATGTTTAACTACAATGTGTGTCGTGTTGAATTGAAAACATTAAGAAACATTTTGGTTATAAACCACATTTCAGGAATATTTCTTAGTTTTTATTGCGTTTGTCTTGTTATTCTTGATTGATTTTTTAACATCTGTACTCGAGCTAGATTTAACATTTTTTAATATTTAAAGTATACGAGATTATATTTTTCAAATAATTGTTCAAATAGATGTATTCGAGAATTGAAAAATTTGTAGCACTGATATAATTAAATACCAATCCATCCTTGGAAGCGATAGAGAATTGATTATGAAGACCATGCATGCAGATGCACGTGAGAGGTGATGATGAGATGATAGCAGATGAGTACAACAACGTCATCGAATTCACTCCCCACACCTGCATGGCGTGGAGATGACCAAAAATAATTTCAAAATAAGTTCCAAATGCATTTTCACAACTCACCTTGAATGTTCTGTCATCAGATATAGAGACCAAAGTTTTTGAATACGTCGGAATGAACTCTGAACAATTAACGGTTTGCAAATGTCCTTCAAACTTTGCTATTTGTTTCCTTAACTTCAAAGTTAATATTTAAGAACAATAATATAGCATTTATAACGTTATTATTATTTATCAAAGTTTAAACAACTATTTAAATTCATAAAATTACTTTAATGCATCAATATATTCAGAATTTGACCAAAATTGGACAAAAATTAGACTTTTAAAAGATACCTCGATAGAAAAAACAAGAACATCGTTGACTGCACACACAGCAACTAATGATACATCTCCGTTAATAGAAATGTGGCTGACAGTATCAATCTGGGATATCACAACACCTTTCATAGACCTGTCTGGAATACAGGAATCCTAAATTCTTAACATCCAATTAAATTATTATAATTTCAAAGTAATTTGTTAACATGAAAGAATATTGAAAATTGTCTTAATGACCTTTTTCTGGCAATGAAAATGTTTGTTTTATCTCTTTCACTTTCCACATGATTAAATAATTGGAATCGGCAGATACAAGAACAGTGTCCCCATCATCAATAGCATCTTCGTTTGAACTTTCGAATCTACCACTATCACTAAATCTCAGACAAGTTACTTGGTTGAAGTGGCCAATGAGAGCAAGTGCCTGAAAATTATTCAATTGGAATGATTGATGTAGTAGCCTATGTATGTATCGATTTTCTGTCGTATTCTTGAAGCACTATTTTCGAGTGAAATAAATTTTACTAGCAGCCTGAGTTCTTTATGATCTAATTTAATTTGTTGATGTATCTTAACATATGAATGTCATATGCAGACTTAAAAACAATTACACAATCTTGTACACACTTTAACAAAGAGATGCAAACTCACACCAACTAATACAAATTTTTGTAACTTATAATTCAATCGCTCTTTAAAAATATACACAAATTTCTAAGCACAAAACCGAAAATGAACATTAGAACAGAAACTTTACAGACCTATACAAAATTATACAAACTTACAGAAACTCGAACAAAACTCGTTTTACAACATTAAGCTCATTGCCTCGTCTATCAAAAAGCGCGCACACGCACTCCTACAATCTTATGTTATTATTTTAATATAATTCAAAGATCAATTTCTATATATTACACCAATTCAATGTTTTAAGTATGCGTAACTGTCTCGTTCATGAGCATTAAATGTATGCAGAATTGTTCACGATTTTGTTCAGTTAAGATTTCTAATGTGTTAATGTGCGTGCGTGTGTCTGTGTCTGTAAGGAGAAGAAAAAAGAAAAAAAAGTACATTAAATGAAAAAAAAGGAAAGCACCATGGCTAGTTGAGGTGAGTTGCAGAAACATTTATGCGGTTGTTTAGGAGATTAATCAAGAAAGAACAATACAAAGATGGAAAAAAAGTCTTGGATTAATAACTGAATTAAGAATTTACTTTAGTATCAAGACAATGCATGTTCCAAACTGATATATCATTATTGTTGCTTGGAAAAGCTGCCCATTCTTGGTGGCATGCCATTTGCATATTGCTCAGAAGTTTTGATATGCCAACTGTTAAATGCTTTATTAGTGTCATAACGATCAAAATAATTAAATGTTAATTTATAACTAAATTGTAACAAACGCCTATGCACTTAATTTTAGATAGTAAAACTTAAAACTATGAAAACCCAACAGTCTAGAAAGAAGTGTTTACACAAATTTCACAAAAATTTTTTTTATGTTAGCACATTGAAAAATGTCATCTGTGATTGCATGTTTTCTATTTATAATTAAAAAATTTCATGTATTTGAATTGGCATGGTATGATTCTTATGTTGATTTGTTCATTTCACTTCAATAATATTATTCTCATTCAATAAAAAAACCATTATTTAACGTAAATATATTGTATTTAAGATTTAAGAAAAAGTGACTTTTAACAACAACACAAAGCAGACAATCAAATTATATAATATTTTAGTTTTATTATTTATATTTATTAATCTTTATTTTGTAATTTTTGAACTTTTAAATGTTGATGTGCAGTAGAAATGTAAATTGGAGCTTTTTAAATTAATCTTATAAAAACTGAAACCGGATAACACCACTGATTACAAAAAAAGAATATTGGATCTCTTATTTCGTCAGTCTTTAATGTAAATTGACATCGATAAAAAGATAACGTTGCCATGGAAACGAAGAACTTTTTAATTCGAACATAGATATCATAAATATAATAAATCATAATTCGATTTTGATGGTGAATTAGTAACCGATGTCTAACAACAAACTAGTTAGATTTTTGGCAGCCATAGTAATCTGCACAAAGAAGCCCTTACACACAATGATGAAGCCATTGCATCCCTCTTTAGTTTGGTGGTTCGAACATTTGGTTACAAGCTGTTACAAGCTTCAAGTAGTGATTCTTGAATGTCTAAGTTTGTGAAATATAAATTAAATAATATATGTATATATATATATATATATTCTTTTTGTAGTTTATCATCATGGTCATTTATGATGTTGCTTTATATATATATATATATATATATATATATATATATATTCTATAAATTCTACCAAATGTTTGGCTGGCGTTAATGTTTGTAGTTCGTTTTTTCGATTTTTCTCACTAAAGTTTTTTGGAGAACGTTTAGTTTATTATTAAAATTCAAAATTAACTTATTTTCCGAATTCATGCTGCAAATAAGGTCATATTTCGATTTCGATTGAATCATCATCAGTGTAATTTAGTTTATACAAGGAAATATTCACTTTGTCAAAGTGAACTTAGATGGAAATTAGGTGTCAGATATATATATATACATATATATTAGAATAAGGTGATGAAAATGAACACTAGATGCCTATGTAGATTAACTTATCCCAAGTTTCAAATTTTTAAAAATCTATCGGCCAAAATTGTTGGTAGTTATTGAATAAAAATAGGAACATTTTTCAAATTTCTGTATTTTATTTTCAGTTGTTTTATTTTTAACAAACCAGGTGAACATGATTCACAAATAATTACATAGGTACATAAATACATTAGTCCCTTTCTTCAAAACTGTGAGGCCGTAAGTATAAGATGAACAGAATTTCGAGCAGAAATCATCAACTAGCAAGCGCCAAAATGATTCTATTAGATTCTAAATTAGATTCTATATGTACATGTCTATATAAACAGATACCTCTGTGTGTGAGTGGGAGCCTGTACCATTACATAGAAAAACCAGAAAAGATCAAAATAAAAAATTTGACGAGGAATTGCCTAATTAGACATAATACAAATAAATGTTGGGAATGGTAGAATAAACTAAAAAGATCATGAATCAAATTGACGGGTATAAAATTAGTGGCATGACGTGGAGTGCAGTAGCATCATAACTGGAGAAAATAATTAATTAAGGTAGAAACGGTAATAATAGAGAATAACAAGTAAGTTTTCACGACAACAAATCATTCGACAGAATAACGATGAAGTACTGAAACATGAGTCGTCAATAAAGAAGAGGTATTAACGCCACTTACAAACAACAATATCAAGAACATAATTACAATTATAATACAACAGGCAGTTAATATTTTATCAGCATTAAAACGGGAAAGCCGCCGAGTCCTTGGCAGATTTGATGGGTGCTTGTTCTTCTTCAATTTTTTCTTGCTCTTTCTGCCACACTACCTTCTTTCTGTGGGCAATAATAGAGTCATTCACTTTGCTGTCAATCATCTTCTCTGTCAGTACGCCGTCATCTGATGCGTATGCTGCAGCCTGTACGAGCAAATTAGAAAAAGTCAGAAACAAAATTAACATTTAAGCACAGATGAAAAAAAAGATAATTTTATTGAGCGTAAATGCATTACTGAGGATTAAAATAAATTATTGCTAATAGATAGTTTGAGCTTTGAAACAAATACATTCATTTAATAAGCCTATCTGCTTATCTATTTCATTTCAGTAACAGAAGTATAACTGAAAATATATAAGTTGCCGTTATAAAATAAAAGATAAATTTTAAAATAACAATATTTCATGCAAACAACAAGCTACTCGATTTAAGACTCATATATGACAGAACTAAAACGAAACAAAGTTTGCAATAAAGTTTAAGTTTTCAAAATTACATACGAAATAGGATATAAATTCAAATTAACGCAGCAAACAAACCTGCCAGGCAACACCAAGTTTTGATATTTCTCTACCAGACAATCCTTCGGTATTCTTGGCAATTTCCGAACATTTTGCACCATAGTCAAATAGAGCAACTTTCAGCCGCCTGTTTATAAAAAACAAATTATTGATTAAGTTTAATAACATTTTGGTAACACGTGGTACATTCCTATCTAGCTAATTAAAAATTCGTCCACCGTTTAAAAATTTCATCACTCAATTTAATATGAACAACATTTAAACAATTTAAATATAAATCAAGGAGAAGCATCAACAACTGCAATAATATTTATAGAAGGAATAAATAATATTCAGATGGTATCAATGAAGTAGCAGAGAAGTTACTTTTTGCCTTCAGCAGCAGGTTGCAGAACAAACTTATCAAAATACAACCGCACCATTCTCTCTCTCTCTTCTAATGACGGCTTGTCGAATTCGACCATTTCATCAATTCGATCGTTGATTGCCCAATCAAACTGCTCTGGTTGGTTACTGGCCAGCACCAACATGAACCTTTCAAGTAAAGTATTAACATCAAATAATCACATGCAAATTTGCTATTGATCGAGTCCAACGATTCTATAACCACAATCAATCTATTACAACAAGGTTTTACATAAGTTACAACAACAACAACACACGTTTATACGACATTTTCCCCGAGATCGGGGGTTGCCGTTTTACATAAGTTAATTCGATATTAATTGAAAATAAATAATAAGCAAGCACACAGCAGAGCGCTCATGATGATGAGCACCAGATATGAACAACAACGTAAATCGTGAAGGGGTATGGAACAAACTTGTTTGATTGTTCACCAGTCCGGTACAGGAAGGCATTCAACGTGGCCCGCAAGTCCTCACTGATCTTCTCCTGATCATATAAAAATTAATTATGCAATACAGAAAGAAAATTATTATATTTCATCAGAATAAAAATTATTATTATTATATAATTCAGACGAATTCATTCAGGTAGGTACACATACATACACCACACACACACACACACACACACATACACACACACACATACATATATATATATATATATATATATATATATATATATATATATATATATATATTTTATTTATTTTCATAATAGATTTCTTTACAGTACCCTCAGCAGTTCAATGTTAAAACATGATAAGAATTCAACATATGAAAAAATAAATTATCGTCCACATAACTTTACAAAAATTTTAGCTCTCAAGTAATCTAGTCATATACTTGATTGTCTAGAGATTATCTTAAAAATTCACAAATTATCAAATTAAACTATTCTTTTTTTTTAAATTGACCAACAAATGATTTCCATTGCATTTAATGTTACTAAGATTTCATATCATGAATTCAAAAAGGCCAATGAAAACTAGAAAGGTTCTAACTAAAAGATTTCATCTCACCTGACTTCGCTTCCTCAAGAAAGCATCAGCCTCGTCAACAAACAACAAGACACTGTTTTCAAATGAATAAGTCAACTTTAAATTATCAATAAAAAAAATTTCACTAAAATGAAACATGATCATAAAACTCATCCCTAACGAAAAATGCGGAAAAGAGAAAATAACAAAGAAGAAAGCACAAACCCTCTCCTGCTGCTACCGGCCCACTCAAAGACCCGGTGCATGGCCGTCACGCCATCCCGACCCATTGGAGCAACATCACCACCCGTCATTATGGCGTAGTCCATCCCAGAATGCTTTGCCAGGCTCTGCAAATGACAAATGTTTCTGCATATCATTTATATATAAAAGATATATACGCATTGCATGTATTTAACAATATGTATGCAACATAAACGATAAATAACGATATTTAATTACAAAGAGCCATTATAGTAGTTATAGTAGCAGTAGTAATAGTAGTGGTAGTAGTATTAGTAGTAGTAACAGTTGTAGTAGTAGTTTTAATAGTCGTAGCAGTAGTTCACTAATTAATTAATAATTAACTATTAATTAAAGTAATTAATTTGAATTAATTAAGCTAGAATTCAAATAATAAAATTTAAAGTTTAAAAAACGTACATACAGAAGAATTATTTAAATAAAAATCTATCTGTTTCTGCTTTGTTTTTGTAATTAAAAGTCATCTCTCTACAATAACTTCGAAAAAAACAATTTTTCATTGTGAACTATAAGTTCAAACAATTAATAAGATTTGAGTTAATTATGCAAAAATAATTTAATGAACAAATCGAATCAAACCTAATTTCAATGAAATCGTTGTTTAATTTTTCTAACAACTACTAAAACTGATATTGTTGATAATCGTTGAATAATTTTCAAAAATTTGAACTAAATTCCTAAATCTATAAAGTTTAACTAATAATGAGAAATAAATTTATAATTTCGATAAATCGTTAAATAAATGGATAATTTTTTTGACGTTTGCAGATAGGAGTATGAAAAACTTGGCTAAAGAGGTTAGTCCTAGTCCTTTCTTAATTCAGTTATATTCAGTGGACGATCTGGGGAAGAAGGCGGGGCTAAAAGTCAGTAAAAGTCGGTTTTTAGACAACCGTTTTGAAGTACAAGATCAATCAAAAATTGGTGTGATAATCATAAAAAAAAGTGTCGCCAGTCTAATTTTGACCGCACTAGCGAACATTTGGTTAATTTTTAGGTTCCCCGTCAAATTTTAACATTTTGCAAATTTTGGCCCCCCGTCAGTGTTTCCGCCACTGATAATGAAATATGTATTTTTTTAAATTTGTAAGAAATTTCACGCAACATTACAAGTGATATTGTAACTAGTAATAATAAAGAAATTATGAAACGGTTGTTGATTGAAAACATAAGCCAAACTAATTCATCTACCCTGATCTAAACTCACATGACATCTTTATAGTTATTGATGGGTTCTGTTTAAACTATTTTTGTTGATAATTTTATACTTAATCAACGACTTGAAAAAAATAAAACAAAATAGTTTACTTTGGCAAACATAGTTTTACCAGTGCCCGGAGGTCCATAGAACAAAATATTTCTGTAGAAACCTTGGTTGGTCTTGGTGTGCCGTGTTGCTATGGCAATATCTCTCAAGCGTTCTTCTAATGATGGCTGTTGTGTTATAATGATTATGAACCATCATAAATAAATAAATAGATCGTATGAATATTAGCTTACAGATACATCCGGCCAATTATCATAATATATAATGTTATCAAATATAATTTTGCAAAGATTGAATTAAGCAAAAATACGAGCCTTCAAAACAATTCCCTTAAGAGCATCTTCAGCTTTTAATGAGATTCTTTTGAATGTCTGTTTAGGGCAAATTAAAATTAAATGTACACTGAAAGCAAAATTAAACATCAGATTGGTAAAAATTACCATCAAATCAGAGAAAAACATCAGACCAGATTAGATATAAGAGAAGTCATGTATCAAAGCAATCCCATTATGAAAAAAATGAAGAATACAACCTCTATTGGATGTTTGACAGCATCAACAAATGTCAGTCTGGATGTTTCCCTGATAAGACTGGGTTTTCCTAATCTGTTTTCAACGTAGCGAGCTGCTACACCTGTACCAAACTTGGCAGCATACACGCCCACTGCCAAAGCTGATAAACCGGCTATCTGCCATAATTGTGTCCATAATTTTAAATGAACACGATTGTAAACTACTACATGCAGTATTCAACAGAACACTTTGAAAATGATGAATTAAAATCTTGAAACAAAAAAATAAGCAGCATCGTTATTATTAAAACAAAGATGGATCAAATTAAATGATGGCCTATGAGCATTTCTTCAATAAATATTTCTTCAATTTTAGTAGCAAATAATTATATTGAAGTAATTGTTGTTGCAACTAACCGTGGCTATTATTTTGTCCTTATCTGAAATGAATGTTTGAAACCCAGCACCCAACACATTTCCTGCCGTCCTGTGGTGTCATGAAATGAGTGGGCTATAAGAATAGTTATTAAAAACTATTCACACCAACCACATAAAATCAAAGTTTAAATACCAAATAGTGAAAGTGTTTGTAACAATGCCAAGTTAAATTATATATAATATAAAACGAGCAATAGTTTAAAATTTAAACTTCAAGTAACAAATTAAATCTGAAATTGGACTTATGAAAAGAAAGAGTTGGGATGGTGAATGTCTTAAAATTGTTTTTTAGAGAGTACTATTTGAAATTTGAATCCCAGCTATATTCACAAATACCAGCAAAAGGAATTAAAAACCTTTGCAAAAAAGTTTTCATGTGATTTGAATTTGAATTAAAATTAGCAAATAGGAAATAATACTAAAACTACCAACCCATGCAGGGAAACATTGAAACAACCAAGTACGAAGCAACTAACTGGATTGATTCTATTATTGTTTTCCTTCTCTCAGCAGCTTTAACTCGAATTTGTTCTAAATGAATATCTTTGTTCTCCCTTTCTGCCAATGCTTTTGCTCTCATCTCTGCTTCAACTCTCTTCATTTCGGTTTGTTGTCGTAGCTCCATCTCGTGCTCCACAGTTTCTTTACAATATTATAATCATTCAACTCATTGGTATTTAAAGTAATTGAGTTATAAATAGGCTGAAGAAGTTGTTCATGGTTGTAAAGTAGCATGAGTTATATTCATGACTAGAATTCACGTTAAGTCGTCATCAGGTTAGCACGCAAATGAAATAACACAACGCTCTAAAAATGGGTTATATCTCACATAATTGGAAAACAAAAAATGTTAAGTCTAAAAAATCTATTACTTAATTTATAAATTTACTGACACGACAAAAGATTTTATTATTTATGTGATGACATACTACAAACATAAATGAGACTTCCACACATACAGATCACAAATTTGAACATTTTGTATAAAAATAACAGTAAAGGTGACAATGAAGAGTGTTTATAGCCCTGTGAAAATGTCAAAATTATTATTAGAATTAAATTATTTGAATCAAAATCTATCACATTAAAAGAAATTCAAACAAGATGTTATATACATAACACACACCTAAATAAGCATATCATATCATAACATAACAAAAGATTTTAAATATATTCTGTCCTATCATATATTATTCAAAAACTGACTGGCAAAATTTGAAGCAATTATTTAAAATCTTGAGACTACAAACTTCTTCGCATAGCCTCCTGCTTAGCTACTGATTCTTCTTGCTTCCTCAGATTTTCTTCTTGCATTTTTGCCTAACCAATGAAATAAATATTATTTTTCATGTAACTCAATTAAGTATATAAGAAACACATTATAAATAATAAAAAGGTAACAAACATCATTAAATATAAAAAAGAGTTTTGCAATTTTTGAAAAATGTTAAAAGTCCAGTGATTATTGCAGGAAAATTGAATAATTAGCCCAATCGATATTCATCAAATAAATACGAAGGGAGAATTGTATAGCATGATCTTCAGAATTGCTATTAATAAAAGAGTTAAAAGAAACCTTAAAATTATGATGGGACCTTGATGGTTTTCGGAAGATAAAAAACATTTACATGTTACAAATTGAAAAACCTTTAATGGGTAAAAATAATAAATACCTGCTGGATGAGTTGGTCATCGTATCTTTTGCGAGCTAGCTGGTCCTGGTACTCCGCTCTTTTTTGGTTCTGTTTCGTTTCTTCCACCAAAGTCTTTCTCCTTTCCTCATTGGCCATTTTGATCTGCTCACTTTTCATTCTTTCAACTTCCACTTCATATTGCTAGTAGAGTATTTGTATGTTTCTTTGTGAGTTTCTTTACACATTTAATAAAATGTAAAGTAATCAATTTAAATCAATTGTATAAGAAAAATAGTATGATATATAAATTTTGATCAACTAACTTTTATAGATATTTGATTTTCTAATATTTTTACATCTTCTTGTTTTTTAGTCAGTTCTAAAGCATCTTTGGCATAAGCTTCAATAAAAATTAAATTAAAATAACAAAATCAGTCACATTTCAATTTCAGCTGTTCATCACTCAAACAGATGTTCCATAGTTTAGTCTGAGTAACATTAACAGTAAGATAAAATGAAGCCAACAGTAAAAGTTTATTACTGTCAGGCTGACATAAATGGTAGGAAGGGAAACTATGGAAGTTGCAAACTGGCAAAAATGTGAGAACATATCTCAGACAAAAGTAACAATTTGATAGCAGCATTCATATAGTATTATAATTATACTTAGATTTTAAATATTTCTTAGTCTTAAACCGAAGTTTTAGTTGACGCATGAGTGTGTGCCATAAAAAAACAATTTAAGAGTTTAACTTAACTAAAGCTTGGTGACTGATGATAAGTTGTAAATGAAGTGACCTTAAATTTAAAATTTAGCAAATGGTGTAAAAAGCATAAGTATTGACTATTGAGCATAAGAAACAAAGTGATATGCAGTAACTGTTACATAAAAATACTTGTGTTATAACTTAACAATAAAATGAGATAAATAAGACAAAATGAGATAAAATAATTTTTTATGCTCAATACTTATAAATTACAGTTTTACACCATTTGCTAAATTGATAAGTTATTTTATTTTTATTCATCAATTTTATTTTGTTTGGTTACTTTTCTAATTCTTATCTTCAAATGTTTTTGTTAATATGAAATTCAATTAAGTAAGTTACTGTTAGGACATCAATAAAATTAAGTTAAAAAATTACTTCACATCATTTTATGACTTTAAAAAAAAGCCTGATTTTTTTAAACAATTTACTTTACTACATAACAAACTACAAAAGTACACATACTGTAGTTTTTTTAAATTAATTAAATAAAAACTAAAAAAAGCCGGCAAGATCAACAAGAGAAATTAAACATACGTGATCTTTCCAATTCTTTTGCGGCTTTTGCGGCCCTTTCTAAGGCGGCAGAATCAAACCGGTAAGATTCAGAGACATGTCCTTGGCTACCCTTGTCGCCCTTGTCTTTTCCTCCCTCGTCACCCCCACTTGGGGGTGGAGGAAGAGCAAACTGCGAAAAATCAGGTGTGCTACCTTTATTTAATCCAAACAACCAAGACATTTTATGATCTTTTAAGAAGTAACACAAAACTACAATAAAAAACACATTAAAATAAAATCGTGCAATTGAACGATAATAAGAGGAATTTAAGGGTGAACATTTAAAACATTGCGTTCTATGCTGCTGATGAAACCATAATAGTGGTTCATTTATTTTTCTATGCTCTTAGGGCTACAAATTGTATAAAAAATATTACTGAAATACATTTCGTTATTGATAATAAATAAATATTGAATAAAAAGCACTTAAAAATTTTTCCACACTAATGAGTCTAAATCTAGGTCGAAGCATATTGTCTAAACCATGGATATATGGTGTATATGTATATGATACATCATGGTCTAAATGTTGATAAGCTGTGATAGGGAGAAGATGAAAAGGATGATTCTTGATCCTACATTTGAAAGATTCTTGTAACTTCTTTATTGTTGGAAATTGTTAATTATCCACACGACTACATCACTATAATACCATATTATGTTGTAATGAGATGTGGCATACATCAGTAGTATTTATACAATACACTATATATTTGAAGAAAATTATACGTATATGTATAGTATGAGTATAGGTTTTGGTTTTTGTACGTGTTAATTACATGCATAAGTAATTTAAAATGTAATCAGCAGGTTTTTAGTGCCCCTTATAACAAACACACATATACATACGCACACGTGATTTCATTTATCATTACAAATAAAAAGAAGAAGTGAGACAAGCTGTTAAGCATTTAAAAAGGAACAAGAATCCAATCAATGACAAAGTAGCTGGTAATAAAAAACGGAAGAAAAGCTCTGGTAAAAAAAACTACACAAGCTCTGTAACATGATATGGAAAGCAGAAAAGCAAAATAAATGGAAATGATCAAACCTGCTAATGCTGTATAGAAAGATTGCCAGCTGGAATGCAGCAACTACAAAACAATTGCACTAATTAGTCATCTGGGTAAAATATTGATGATGATACCAAAAGACTGAGAGCCCAAGCTGATGAACATGCCTGATTCAGACGAGATAGAATCACTATACAACAGATCTTGGTCCTAAGGCTTATTTCAGAAAAAGCTAGACGCAAAAACAAGAAAATTTACAGTTGTTTGACCGATTTCCCAAAGGGCCTTCAAAAGTATTTACCAGAATGCTGTGACATGGACAGCTCTAGAATCTTATGGAGTCGACATCAAACTATTAAATTTGCTGAAAGACACCAACGGTACCGCAGAATCAACCGTTATGGTTTGTAACGAGAATGGAGTTCAACAGCAGCAGAGGTACAAGAACAGACAACCCATTATCATCGACCATTTGTATCACTCATCAAGAATGAACAAAATACATGATCAAAATAGGTGAAAAAACAGTCTCTCTAAATGGAATAAACATTATGCGTTTTACAGATGATATCGACCTCCTCGAAGATGGTAGAAACACTAAATAATTAAGAAAAGAGATATGGCCTAGCCATGAACATTGGGAAGACAAAAACTATAGGTTTTGGAGACAAAAATATTGAACGCAGGTCTGTCATAGATGGTGTTGAGTTAGAAAACTTGGAGAAGTTCACCTGCCTGGAAAACAACATTGTAGGAATGTGAATTGCAAAAAGGAAATCGCTGTAAGAATAGCCATAGCTAGGTGACATTAAAAGCCACGGATACCATAGCACATTCGTTAACACTTTCATTGAAATGAAAGAAACCGAGACCAGATCTCGCTAAAACAATGTGAGTATCGGGTACCTAATACCCACAAAAGTTTACAGCTTGCCAGTATAAATGTTAATAACCAATCACACACGACCACTGCATAAGTACATTTCAATTATTTATTTAATATTCAAGAAATGATTGTTCCCCCTTTATTCAATTTTCATCAGTAAACTCATGGATATATATATCCATGAGTTAACTACGTAAAAAAAATGTTGAAAAATATTATTTTTAACGCGTTATACTGATAAGATCATATTTTTACCATATATGAAATGAATGATTAAATTTACGTCTCTGCCCGTTTAAAAACCAGTACAACAGAACACAATGACTATATATAAATGATGAAACTTATAAAGTAAATGTATATTGAACGAACAGATTAATGTTTAAACGGCTCAGCTAAACATAACAAAATACAAACTTAAAATTATTTAGTCATTTAAGCAATTCCGATAAATTTTCAGTTTTCATTAGTTGATTTTGAAACATATGTTAAAATCGATATTATTTTCTACTAATAACTATTGAGTCGATTCGATTTTTGTTATAATCAACTTTAAAAAAGTATTTAATCATAAAAAATTTTCGAATCAGCTATGATAACCTATGAGATTTCACGATGACGTAATTACTTGTGGAAGAAATAATTAGGGAAAAAATATAAATGTTAATCTCGATATCATAACATTATAAGCTGTTAACTAAACGATGCAGCATTGTATGAAATGAAAAAAATTAAGATCAAATATCAGATAAAAAATGTTTCAAGCGAATGATTATGCCGAGATTTATTGTATGTGAACTATGTTTCTACTGTTACCAACAATATTGAAACTCTATGTCGCCTTATAATCAGATAGGTGCATAAGATAAAATTATTAGAAATCAATTATTCCTTTATTTACTTAACCACTGAAGTTTTTAAGCTTCATTACATCATCATATAATGTTATAACTTTCTAATTACAGGAAAAAACGAAAAACCGAAAATAAAATTGAAAAATAAATTAAAAATTAAAAAAAGTAAAATAAAATCAATAAGTTGGGAAACTCAGATTAATTTCATGATAAATATAACGAATTAAAAAAGTTTTGAAAATAATTAAAATGAAAAACTTGAATATATCAATTTAGGATATATACATGTTGTAAAAAAGAATTATGTAAAAATGATAAAAAATTCATATTTAACACCAAAAAGATAATAATCTCGATATTGAATTGGTCAATGAACTTGTATTTGATTGATATGAGATTATGGTTAAACAACAAAAGTAGATCATAAAACAGAAACTCTAAAAGATTTTCGACATTTTAAAAATAACCTTGAATGAGATAAAACTTAAATAAATTTTATTGGCAGACATCATCGATGCAGTGAGTGAAGCATGGGTAACTTTTCACTATCTTCAAAATCATCAGCGCCACCCAAGTAACTTTCACTGACACTGCACTCAATCAAATTATCATTCAGATGACCACTGTTCGGCATGCTGTAATTTGTTGATTTGGAGGATACAGTAACATTTTTAGCGATTTCAGTAACAACTTCATTTCTCTTGCTGACATCATCTTCATCAGATTCTATACAGATAGCCATCTCATGCGAATGAACGTTATCAACCGATTCCTCAATATTGTTTTCACTGCACTTCTCAACATCTTCATCAGCCAGTGAAGTTATTTCGGTGACTTGATCAGTCAGTCCCTTGTACTCACTCGAATCCTTTCATTAATTTTGTTTAATAGATTAGAAATTACATGCAACTTGACTATTTAAAAAATAATTGACTAACAAATAAGAATTCCTTGAATATTTCTTGCAGGTATTTATTTGGAAAGATGCCTGACCCCCCTTGATAAGATCCATCCCTGTCTATACCATTCAGACCGACGTTATTGAGACCCTGCAAGAACAACAAGCCCACCGAACCAATGACATGCGACACCCAGCAGCCAACAGTTTTCTTTGGCAGAAAGTCATTGATCCACACATTCCAGAAACCTCTCCAGAACATGACATTAGCCCACGTTAATATGATAAAAATTGTGTCTTCATAGGCTAACTTTAGCCAATACCTTCCATCTAATGATTCAGATATCCGAGATAATGGAACTTGAAGTAGGAGAAGTGATATGCTGATGATGAATCCGACCAAGCAGCAAATGGGATCAGTCGATGGATCTTTGAACAACGTTATGTCAAAGAGCCACCACAGAGCCCACCAAATGGTGATAGATATTGTCACAACCACAAATTGTGTGAAAAGGCAGTCAAGAGCGAATTTTACAAAGTTGTCATGCTGCAAATACAATTATTATTAAATAAAAATTGAAAAAATTAATATAAAAATGTTAAACAAAGCCATTCAAAATCTTGAAACTATTTTTATTAACGGTAAGTTAAATGAATATAAAAATAATAAACAAAGCTATTTAGAATGGTAAACTAACAGATGTTTTAAAAACTACATCGGCTTCAAGAAGATCATTGCTTGTATCCAACCGAAGAGCCACAGGTGCCCCAACAGCCGACCGAACTGTTCTGGTCAGTATCATCAACAACTGGCATATTACATAAATAATTATGATGACATATATAAATTTAGGATTAGCATTGTTGAACATGAAATCTAGCAAATTCCACGTTCCCCTCCAGTAGCAAAGAATGGCCCAGCCATGTATGTAGAAATGTATACGGGTAACCAAAATGTAGATGGCTGGAGTGTCTGTGGTGATCCATTCTGCCAACTGAGGCTGCATCAACAACTGGAACATGCATATCGTTGCTCCCAATGTGAAACTCAACAAAGTGCTTATCTGTTCATTGTCAGGGAAAAAGTATTCATCTTGTAACACCCAGGTTCCATCCCAATGTAGGACTGTCAGTGGAAATATTATTAGAGTACTTATGAAGACATCTGCTATCATCAAGCCTAAACTGCAGTGCTTTCTGGAACTGCATGTTAAATCTAAAAATTAAGCAATGTAAAAATTAAATGAACCAGACTGAAATGCATTGATGTACCTTCATTTGTTATAACTCAAACACTGTTTAATCCAATGTAAAAAAAATTGTCATTCAATTTTTAAAAAGATTAAACATTAAAAAACAACATTTAAAAAAATAACTGTAAATTTTAAAACATAAAAATTATTTATTTATTTATAACTAATAAATATCTTACTATGACATACTTTTAAATATGTTCTGTTTTGACATTGATAAATATTTGGTTCTCTGATCAATGTCTTCAAAACTTATCTAAATTCTTTAGAATATTTCTGAATTGTTGAAAAAATAAATACATGAGTTAACCATAAATGATAAACCATCGAAAAGTATCTTGGATTCACAACAACTGCAACACTATGGCCAGGTTTGAATGCAAGGTAGATCTCTAAAAACTTATTTTCTAACCATGCCCAAGTTAAGAAATTTTAAATGTCATAAAATAAATGAACTCACAATATTTGATCTAACAGAAAGAATGAATTGATCAGAATTAAAATATGAATAGATTAATCACGAACAAAACCTAGGAGGCACGTTAATAATAGTAGTACTTTACAAAACAAAAACATTCAGTTCATCGGCGCTTTTCCAAATTTAAATTTTAAATGAAAGAAATAAAATAAATTAAATAATAAATATTTTAAATTTTTAATTAACGATAAAAAAATTAGATGACAAATCTCTAAAAAAAAAGTCCAAACTTAATTTTAAAAATTAAATTAATTATTATTTTATTATTATCATTAAATATTAAATAAACTAACAATACTAACTTGCTAACATTTTAACTTTTAAGATTTAACAAAATTTATATTTAATTAAATAACAATAAAATAAATAAATAAATAAAAATTAAAGTAATTGATTTTTTATGATTAATTAATTTTAATAAAAAAAATTAATTAAGGAAGCTTTAATTTCAATTCGAAGCGCCAAAATTCGGAGATCAAATCAGAGATTAAAAAATGTAGCTGACGTCAGGCCACTTCGTCATCATCCATTTCTTTCTTTCTTCTTTGAATACTTCAAAAAAAATAAAAATAAACTACATTACAAACTCGCACGGCATCATTCAGACTTGATTGACTGAGATGAAAAGTTACGAAGATTTAAAGCTGGATATTTTATAGCGCTTACTATAAATTATTTAACGACATCTGACCTGAAATAATAAGCGTATTTAGTGTGTTGAATATTTGACTGGCAAGTGAAATAGGAGTAACATAATATAACATAACATAACATAAAATAACATAACATAACAAGGTTTATTGTGGATCAGTAGATATCTCTGTGTGAGAACCGCTGGATCGATTTTGACTAATAATATGGATTTAAAATCCCAATCTTTCAAGTCTGGCTTTAAACTCCCGCGTTGTAGGAGCTGTTACAGTTTTTTTTTCGTCCAGCTTATTCCAATGTTCAATAACTCTCGAAAAATCTTTCTTTTATTGTTCCTACCCTTTCTTTGAAAAGGTTGTATTGGTGCCCTTTTGTGTTTCTATTTTCTGCAAATTGGAGGGATAGGGATGAATCTATCTCATCCTTACCCGTTATGATTTTGTACGCCTGAATAAGATCTCGATCTCCTCTAGTCCTGTCCAAGGTTATCAGTCCACATCTCTTCAATCTCTCCTCATATGAAAGTCTTTCACAACTGTTATGAAGAATTTTAAATAGGTGAGTGTTGTCAAAAAGTTTTATATAAGAAATTATAATTTTGAACCCATACTTGCCATTTTTAACTTAAGTGTGTCATACATATGCCCTTTGTGATGATCGACAGAGATTATCGAGAATTACACAACGTACCTACATACACGTGTGCATAGCATATGTGCATGTATTGCACAGTAGGTATGCAGGCACAATGGACAAGTATTTGCGCTTAAAAGCAGACACTGCAAAACAGCACGCGACGCTCCAACTATTATTTAATGCTTAATAATTAATTACTGTGTCTAACGCTAAATAGCAAATATAAAGTTAGCCAATACATTGGCTAATGTATTTTTTGGTATTTGTTATCCTGTCCAATTTCCAATACATCCAGATAACCAACAGAAATTATTTCATACTTGTGAAATACCCAATACACCCTCTTGATATCTTCGTTTATTTTAATTAATGTTTAAACGTTAGTTTGTTTTTAAATTTCAATATGAACTACAGCCTCTGCCCTCTGACAGAAGATGTTACTCTTTCTGCTCTATATTTCTGTCTCAAGACTAGTCTAGATGTTCTCCACGATCAAAAGTTTAATTTGCTTTCCCTGGTTATGGTGACACTTTTGTTAAATCAATTTTTATTTTTTTAATATTTATAATAAAAATCATTTGAACGAATTCAATAAAATTTTTCTGAAAAAATTTCAAGTTAAAATGTAAACTGTTAAAAATCGTTAATGAAGCAGTAATCCTTGTTCCAGAATTTTTAAATAAATATACAAATCAACAAACACGCAATTTTTTGAATTTGATAAAATTTTTACTGCTTGAGACACAAGCAATTTATTTTCATTCTCTGTGTGAGATCGAGGACATTGCTATCCATCAGTCCAACTGAACAGCATGGAAAATTGAAGTGAAATAATTTTCCATCGCTGTGCTGTTGATGTTGGAATGTCATTATCATCCTTCTTTCGTTCAATGCTTTCTTGAATTTGTATCGATGGTTTTGAAACCAAATCTTGATTTGAATTGGAGTCAGTCGCAGCTCAGTTGCAAGCTGCTCTCTTTCAGGAGTTGATAAGTAGCGCTGCTGGTTGAACCTCTTCTCCAGTAAATGGATTTGGCTCTTGGAAAACAAAATCCTCCTCTTCTTTTTTGTAGTGAGTTCGCGTGTTGCATTTTCATTAGCGTCATTTGATTCTTTTATTTCGGATGAGTAATCAACGAGCTTGTCTCCATCTTTGTTGTACCTTTCTATAGCGTGTGATGTCTGATAGCTCCGTGTCCAACCCTCATCAGCTAAATAATATTATATTATTCATTTATAATTTTATTTTTATTCCAATAAATCAACAAATTTTCTTCAGTTTAATAAAATCAAAGCTTTTTTAAATTTTATATCTGGTTTCATTTCAATCATTTTTCTCCAATTTAACTGAAATGTTTTTAAAATATTTTTTTGTAAGTATGAAGGTTTAATAAATATGAAAATAATGAAAATAGAAAATTATTATTATTTTATATATTTTTTAAAACTTGCTCAACAAATTTTTTAAAACGTTAACACAGTTCTCACGCGTCTTGCCTTTTAATTTGCTCAAGATTTGCGTCATGTATGTTAATAAACTTGTTGGTTTTATGTAAAATTGACAGGGATAACAAACGAAAAATATTGACTTCTGTCTAACAATGTACGTACAAAAACTTCCAAACAAGATGTGGATATTGTGTAGTGCCAGAAAGGCTTTTCTGTTAATGTAAAGTTCGACCGCTGCCAACAATTTTTTTGTTAAACAAATCAGTAAACGTGTAAAAAGTTTTAAAATTAAAATCAAGCCGTCAAAATTTGGTCCTTAGAAGGAGATTGATAGTTACGACAGTGCGAATCAGCTGCCGATTATTTGTTCTACTCGAAAAGTGTCAAGACCATAATTAACAGATCATCGGTCATATGATGAAACGTCATGCAATCATTAGAAAGAAGTGTGTACCTACGCTACACGTGCAAAACTGAATTTATTTGTCAACTGCAAGTTTTCAAATAGTGACTAGAGTGCATTTTTTAACATTCTATTTGAAAACTAATATTCTTGATAAAACAATTTTTGTTTTTTAGTTTGATTTAATTCATCGTTTTTCTTGTAAATATAAATAGTAATAAACTTTACTTGAGAGGTTCTTCGCGGAAACATTACGACACACATCCTCCCAAGGACGAATAATTTTAAAATTTTCTGTTTTTTCTGACATTCTTTCTCCAGTCAAAGTTTATTTCCACACAATATTAAACTATTGAAGTTGTTTTGATGAGTTTAATAAATAGCCTGAGCATGAGAAGATGTGTAAACGAGGGATGACGAATGGTGAACATTTGCAAATGTGATTGACAACCGACCGACCAATAAGAAGGCAGCGTATGTGAGATTGTAACAACATCCTTCATTCTTTCCCGCTTGTTGGCTGGGATGAGATTATATTAATTTCATATTTCTGCTACTTTTTACCAAACATACAAAACTCACATGACCAACAAACTTTCAAAATTTAGCAACCGCATTAAAAGATCTCTATAACGGTTCTTTACGACTTTCACCAGGGGCTCAAGTACAAAATATTTTTACTCAAACGCTTCTGCACGTACTTTTTTTTACATAAATATAACATACTCAAATATAGGTATTGTACTCAAATATAACGTACTTTCATTGATGTGTATTAACATTTCAACTGCTACTTCAGAGAGCGTTGGAAAGAAAGACAATATGAAATAGTTTAAAGATAGTTTATTCATATTGCGTTCATTAGATGATATGTATGTGTTATGCATGTTCGTCATCTCATAATATTTCCGAACTATTAAAATATTTTATACTTTAATTTTTGGTTACTTATTTTTCAAAGTAAAAAAATATCAGTTGTTTTATATGAAAAGAGAAATAAAATTGAGAACAATCGCAAACTGTAACATTCAACTGCACAAGTCGTGCAGCTAAATGCGCTTGGAATCAAACTTTTGTTGACATTGATTGAATCGGAATTTTGACAAAAATTTTATATTATGATTTTAGATTATGAAATGACGCATTTGAAGAAACCGCATCATCAATTCGTTTCTTAATATATAATATTATGCCACATGGTGCATGATGGGTAGTTTTTGCTTTTTACCACAAAATGCACGAAATGCGCTGTGCACATTACGTATGTGCAAGTTCCTTATAACGAAGTGCGACTATTTTTAATTAATCTATCATCAAAAAGCTCAAATGGCTATTTTTCTGTCTGTAGAAAAAAGTTGAATTTAATTTAGTAGAAATAGACATGAATAATCAAATGAAATTTGTAAATATAACTTAGCGATACAATATCGTTCGTGAAATGCGTGAACATCCGCGCGCGCACACATATTTATTTTCAGCAATTAAATATTTTTGATAGCCTAATTTCTGTACGGAACAAATCTTAAAAAGTTGAAAAAATGGTAAAATTCGCTTTACATTTTGTGAATGGAAAAGTCATTAATCATACATCATACACCAACACCAATATAATATATATATATATATATATATATATATATATATATACGTATACCTTTCATATAATTGGCGGCGTAAATTTCGTTTAATTTACTGTTGTGGAAAGACCTATTGAGCGAATGTCAAGCCACGCGTACAAACAAATAAATGTACCTCTGACTTTGTAAGGACAATGGTATTCTCGGCGTGATTATAAACTCCTTTCAATGCTATCGGGATGTATTGTTTGATGCAGACTGAATACGTTTAACTTTGACTGAAGAAACACATTTTTTAAAAATAAATTTATTAAATTTTTGATATTTATTAAATTTATTTATTTTGAAAGAATATAAAAGTATAAAACTAGTGTAAAAAAACATATTAGTGGTCAGTGCAAACAGTTCCCTGAAACAGCAACAGAGATATTATTTTTAATGTCAATCAGTTTTATTACATTTAAAATGTACAATTCAAATCATATCACAATAAAAAATATTTGACTTCATGCGACCAATCAGCAAGTCAAACATTGCATTCGTTGGAGATTTCATCGAGACGGTAATATATGCCGGAACACGGGCGGTCGAATGGTATGGTATGTAACTGCAATAAACGGATGATATTGGCTTTTTAAATTGCGTTTAATAAGCAGAAGAATTACAATTTGTCTGCTCGAGAATGAATGTTTTTGAGGCGTTTCGATGGAAGTTACTTCAAAAAACAAGATGAGAGATTTTTTTGAAGGGTATGGATAATTTGCAATTTATCCCATTTAACGATATATTTTTCAAAAAGCACGGTTTCATTCAACTGCACACTATGTGTCTGTTAATTATAAACATTCTTGAAGTTGAAGTTTAAAAAAATAACGCAAATGATAAAAATTTTTTTATTAATATTTCATTTTCACTTCAGAAATAGGTTCATTTAAAATAAATAAAATTCATTTTCAAGGTACATTTTTATCCAGACATGCCTGCATTTTAATCATCTAAACCCTGAATAACCGGCACACCTCAACTTAAGTGGTGACAACACGATTAACCAGCCAGTGGTACAATTTTTTCTATCAACGTTTTAAAGTTAACCCTCGCTTATTTAATTAATGCTTAGTCAGACAAGAAGATTAAGCAAGTGACGTTTATAGCCGTCACTGCCACGTTTGAAGACCGATTAAAGGGAATTTTGGAAATTTTTTGAAGTCCGACTTAACGGCTTTTTGTAAATTTTTTTTCGATCAAGCAAAATTAATTAGACTTAAAAATGGGAATAAAAATAGCGGTTGGCTCAGTTAACTAAATTTTAAAACATAATCAATTTTATTTTATCATATCATGGAATTGTTGACTGTTGACACTAGTACATTTTTCAATTTCCAAATTCATTTTCATTGCGCTAGTTATATTGCTTACACCGACTGCTTCAGATTCAACCAAATGCAAAAACCTGCTTGATGACTCATCATAATAAATTAAATAAAAAAACTTCCTTGAACTACTTCAGCCGGTATTTTTCAACTTTTCCAAATTTGTCTTATTATTTTGTGCGAATGTGTTTTCATTACATTTGTGTACTCGTTTTGCTGCACTGGAAATCAGTAGGCATTAAGTATTCCAATATTTCGAGTTTCATATTTATTTAAATCACATAAACGAAAACGAAAATATATTACTTTATAATGGATGCTGATATGAGCTGAAGTTGCTGTAAGAAACATAAAAAATACAGAACTAATGCAGAAATTAAAGTTTGTACTTTTGACGGCGTTATTGGGAGGATAGGAATGGATCTCAACTTTGTTGATGATGATGACGGTGCTGGCTCGTTAGATTCTAGCGCAGGGTGTCTACAAACGCTGATTGAGATAACACCTGATGGTGATCGTTGAAAACAAAAAAAAGAAGATTTTGAAAAAAATTTAATTTGTGCGAATGCGAAACTCCAAATAGAACTAGGATAAGATGAACAATTAGATCAGTTTGTGTGGGTGTATGATCACGTAAAACCATCAGCACCTACCGCTACGAATAAGGGTTCAACAAAAATAATTATTGCATTGAAAGTTAGCATTGTTGGAAAATTGTTGAAAAAGTTGTAACGCCTCTAGTTCAAACGTTCAGTTCAGATCATGAGGTTCATGTTAATTCTTATTTGTAATTCTTAATTCATTAAATCTTAGTTGCTCATGCTTCTTCGTTTTTTCACATACCTACTTTCACATCTTGTCCTCTTACATCGGCTATCTACAAAATATAGAATAATTTTTTAAATTTGCACATTTGTGGTACAAATTTCATTTATTCTCTTTGTATTTATACGATTTTTTTCCAGTACACACAAGTGTTTTGATCTACGAACCTTTTTTGTTCTGACCGTTCAGTGTTTCTTGATTTCTGTTAAATAGAGTATTCTAGGGAGTTAATTGATTGATTGATTGATTAATTGATTGATTGATTGATTGATTGATTGATTGATTGATTAATTGATTGATTGATTGATTGATTGATTGATTGATTGATTGATTGATTGATTGATTGATTGAGTGAGGGATTGAGTCAGTGATTGATTGTAGTAAGGGGCATGATATGAGGACGCAATTTTGCAATCAGGTTCTTTGCAATCAGGTTCGGTTTTTCCATTTCAATCATTTTCAAATGTTGCATTACTTTACATGCTTTACTTTTTGTAAAGTTTTTACGAATGGGTGTCCTATATATATTGTGGTAATAGTAGTGAATAAAAAAAACCACGTTAACACATTTAAATGAACTTTTAAATATTATAGAATCGAACGTGAAACATTGAGCTAATTTAGTTAGATTAAATTCGTATGATACACTAGTTTATATTTATTCGTTTCAGGGGATCTGTTGCGTGAATATGAGTAATTTTAATGAAAATAACTTTTCTCAGGCACCCGGTGCCTACGGATCTGTTGGGGCAGGTGGGCAATTCGATCCTGCTACGTTCTTTAAAAAGCCTCAGGTTGTTGTTAGACTTATCTCACTGGTAAGCGATTTTTATTTGTTTTCATTTTGTTTTTTAAGGTTTAGGAGAGGTGTAAAATGGAAATGCTATTCGGTTCTGTTTGTTTGCTGTTATCCAGTTATTTGTATAAGACTTATCGACATCGTCATGCATTCGGAGTAATGGGTGTTTGTGTGATTGTATGAGTGTGCGTGTGACCATGCCAACAGCAAAATTATTATACTTTATTTATTATATTTATATAGGATAGTTTATTATGTAATGTTAATATTAGTAAAATGAGACTACTAAGATAAGAGTAAGAGTTAAGTTAAGACTGAGAAGAGTAATGTAATACTAAGAGGAGTAAGAAGACTAAAATAGAATAAGTAAGAATAAGAAGGAGAATTATATTATAAATTATATTATCATTTTTGAATTTTGGATTAATTTTAGAAACTGTTTTTTGATTGAGTCTGAATACTTAAATCTAGAATAACTACAAGTTTTTTAGATCTGGCATTACACATTACACAGTAACAAACATGCTGATATTGTGTTTTAGTTTAAAATTTGTCACACTTTATTTTGTCCTTTTTAAATCTTAGAGTGCACAGTGTGTATGACGAACATTTAATTAATTGTTTGCTGGTTAAACTATATAATAAACTACACCACCCCATCTTTGTGATGTATGTATAATGATAAGCTATATTATTGAATAATTATTTTTAATTTCTATCAATAATTATTCTACCTATGAATTACTTACTCTCAATGCAACCATGAAATCTTACCAAGTTTTTATTAATTTGAATTTTCCAAACTTAGTTTTGAGATGCCATGGTTAAATCATTTTCCTGTATTATAGTTTTGAAACTGGTCATGTTCATTAGACTCAATCTTTTTAACAAATTCTTTGATAAATAAATTTGAATTATTTCTTAATTTGAGTTTTATTATTTCTCCATTTAAATTATGTTCAATAGTCACTTAATAATAAATAAAAGAAAATAAATAAAATTTTAGAACTAAATATTATAAATAATAATACTCATATAAATTTATTTATTTATTTTATAAATAAATTTATTATTATAATCTGTTCACTTATTTGTTAAATTAATTAATATAACTTGTACTGTTCTTTAATTTTTTCAAGTTATTTGCCATCATAGTAGCCGGATGTGTAGGGAGCCAGGGGTGGGAAGCAATTGACTGCAAATTTAACAAAAGTCCCAGCACTTGTAATTTTGCAGTGTTCATGGGAACAGTGACTTGCATCATCATCTGCGTATTTCTTGTCTTTGATGTTTTGTTTGACAACATTAGCAATGTCATAAAAAGGAAATACATTGTCATTGCAGATCTTATATCATCTGGTATGTGTGGATGTGGCAGTAATTTGATGAATAAAAATATGCTTACAGCAATGTCTATACATGTATCTATTTTTAATTTAAAGCTCTCACAACGTTTCTTTGGTTGGCTTGTTTCAGCAACCTAGTTGACAAATGGAAGAATGTTACAAACTTAAAAAAAACATCAAGTGAAGGTGAATCAGCTTTGCAAGCAACCATCGCATTTTCATTCTTCTCCATTATTACATTTGTTAGTCATTTCATTTTTAAATCTTTGTTTGAAACATTTATTAAGATGTTATGAAACATTTCAGCATTTCATCTAAAGGATACTAATGTATAATAACATATTACATTAATTTAAATAATTGCAGTTCGGCATTTTAATAATACTGGTGATGCATTTTATCCTAATTCAAAAAGCTTTTTGTGATTAAAAATTTAACATTTCCCATCACATCAAATTGAAAATATGACATAATGAAGTGCGCCAAATCTCACAAATTCTTGAGATTGCTCATGAAATAAGCTTCCTTACGACCAAACGTAATATTAGTAATTAAATCAGAACACCATTTATTTTAGTCTGCTGTTGTTGCTTTTTTCTTTCTATCTTATTCCCACTAATTTTATTTGATCTGTAAATTTAAAATTTTTTATTAGTACATACTTGGGGTGAGTGCCTGGTTATTCTCACTTTTTTATCACTTTCTTTTTTTCTACAGTCCATCTTATTCACATCTAATTTATTAAATGGACCAGATAATTAGTTAGAGCAAAGTCAATGAACTGATTGAGCAAATTTAAATTACAATTACTACAATTTGATTTCAAAATGTTGTTAACACAGGGCATATTAACTGGATTGGCAGTGAAGAGGTACAGGGAGGGTGTGACTGGTGGGGACATGCAAGGGCCATCTGATTACAACACTCCTGACCCATTTGCAAACCCTGAGGAAAGTTTCACTCCTTGATCACATTTGATCTACATCAAACTTCCTGGTTGAGTTTTATCATTTAAATTGTCCACATAATCTCTTTTGAAATTGAAGTAAGTAACATTTTAATGGCTCTTTTTTATCAGTGTGTAAAAATGTCAGCTACGATATTTAAATAAACATTAACACAAATCAATGATAGTGCTATGCTTTGCTTTTTAAACTATCATCCGATCATTGAATTATTTTATCAGTTCTGCACATTCTATCTGAACTAACAACCAAACTGAGTGGGTGAATAAATAATAATTTTTAAGTTTGTGAATGTAACATAACATAAACAGAAAATAATGAGGCGTGAACTGCCATTCATATGCCTCTAACAAATTATACCCCTCTAATTGAAAGAATAATTAAAAAATAATAGTAATAACAAATAATAATAGTTAATAAATTAACTACATAAAAACAAACTACATTAAAATAACACTAAATAAATAAAATTACGTCTCTATATAATTATAGAATTACATACATATAAATGAGTTAATTAATTAATCAATCCATTAATTTACTACTGTTTAGATACGGATAAATTATTTTATGTAATTTTTTTCCTTCGTTCATTAACAAACTGATCACTTTCCGTTAGTTTCTTAACCAGTGAAGTAGCCTTCTTAACACTTCAATTACCAATTACTTTAAATAAATTTTGTTATGCATTCCCATTCATAAATTTCTGACAAATTATTTATTTGCGAACAGTAATTTAATTTTGCCTCCATCATTTAAGTTATTTGCAATTCACTTTTTTGAGCTCATTATGATTGGATAATGACAAAGGCTTACGAACATTAATTACATTGGTTTCTGTTGAAGTTTATTGGAAAAATTATTTATTTTTTTTATATTTTTTTTATGAATGAAGCAATTTATTTAATTTATTAATCATTTACCATAAAGTTGTTTTGTTTGTTAACGATTTTGTTGTTATTTCGAACGTGAAAAAATAATAAAAACAGACTAGGTCGTATTTACATAGTGAAAATGCAAATGTATTTTTTCGCGTTCATCCGATATCATATTTACATGCTTATCGCTCAACTTGGACAATCGTGCTCTACAGTAATCAAGTTATTCATATGTACATTGTAAAACAGTCATTGCAGAGTTTGATAAGATTCAAGATAAGTTTTATTCAGTCTTCGTTGTATGGTTTCAAGGTCAGCCTGGGCACGATGTTCATTGATTGAAGCTCTTGAAACAACAATTTGCAGGCATATGGAATTTTGATTGATGACACATCGTACGATGATTTGCAACTTTGACACCTGGTACGTAAATATGAAATGAACAAAAATAATTTACAGACCTTCATAATCAAAATGGAATGTGATAACATATCGTATCATGCCTAGAGCCACTTTTAATGGCGTCTCATAACGTAGCTTCTCATTACCAACATCCGTGATGTAAATAATAAGTTGATAAAAAAAATATTAATAAATAAAAATTTTGATCGGGGAGATGTAAGATGTGAACAATCTCTAACCATCCTGAGTATCCAACGAGGCCACACTTGTTGCAAACGTCGATGCTGAAGGCATCACTCGAAAGCATCAGTCGTTCCAACAATAACATGCTGTTTTAAATTTATATTTATTATTTGGAAGTTTAAATCTATGCGTTGAAAAATTTCCAAAAATTTTTTTTTAATCTTTACTAGATAAAAATAACGAAATAGTGAATACAATTTAATGAACGCAGCAGACCTACCTGGCACCATACCCAATAAGGCAATCCCTCTCCATCTCGCCCAATCTCAGTCCTCCGTCACGCGATCTACCTTCGGTAGGCTGCCTGGTCATAGATACCGTGGGACCTCGGGCTCGTGCATGGATCTTGTCCATGACCATGTGCTTCAACTTTTGGTAGTATATCGGTCCAGAGAAGATGTATGCCTGCAACGTCTCTCTGATTTGTAGTTAATAATTTTTGCCATCAATTTATTTAAATAGGATTGATCGAGACCAGACATTAACTATTTTTTGCGCGCTGTTAATTTGTAGCTGATAAGATAATGCAAGGTGATGAGGAAACGGACAGACACCACTATGCATTATCACAATATAATCAATATCAATTGAAATAACAAAGCGACGTGCATTTGCGTCTGTCTCGAGAATCCTTCCTTCCGAGCAACATAAAAAATTTATTATTAAAAAAAGCGTATGAGGCATTACAAACGAACCCAGTGATGCCACACGTGAAAACATCCTTCCCTTCATAGTGGAAGTCGTGGGTGATGAGTGACTCATAAATCTCCTGCAACGGTGTCCCGTTGAAAGCTGTCAATAAAATTTAAAATTAAGTATTTTATTCTTGACTGATGAAAAATTGACATGCTTCCTCTGAAAACTAATGTTTAAATGTCAGAACAACTAATCAGATGTGAAATTGTGATAAGCATATATTCAGATACAGCATTTTAGACATAATGTTATTAATTTTAATTAAGGAATCACTTCGAGATGGCAACTAACTAATTAGTAATTAGTCAATAATTTTTAGTTAATTGAAAAACTGATGTAACCTGTGCCAAACTTGAACTCGCCATCAAGTACTGCTGCTTTGGACCCAACCAGTTCCAACAACTTACCGACCGTCATACGAGACGGAAATCCGTGTGGATTCATTATCTGATCGTAATTTATTATTTAACAATGCCCAATTAACTAAGCATTAGTTGCATGTTCTATAAGATTTTTAAACTATAAAATTATTATTAATTAACATTGTCGTAGTGTTTTGCTTTTATCTGCCAAATACAGCAGAAAATCAAAATGTAAAGTTAATGACCAAAATATGAAGTTGAAAAGTTTCTTCATAAGTTTGTTAGAAGATATGAACAATTCAAGACTAACAATATCAGGACACATCCCCCGATTGTTGAATGGCAAGTTTGCTTGTGGCACAATCAACCCGCAAACACTGCATTGTGTGTTTGTAAATTATTATTTTATAAAAAATTATGATATAACAACAATTATATGATACAACAACAATAATAATAAAGCAGCAATGTTTAAAAGTTAAATATCGTTTGATTGAACATGTCCAATTTCACATTATTTCACTTGTGTCTGAATGTTGAAAGCAACCTCGTACAATAATAATTCATGCAACAGTAACGATTTGTTGTGAATTTGGTAGATGATCAATGAATGACTATCAAATGATGAACAACCACCCACCCTTTCTGTCCATGTCTGCTACTGAATTTGTCGCCAATTTCAGGTCTTCTGGTCTGTCGGAGGTTCACCTTGATCAGCGTAGCGTCGTCCTCATTGGTCGTCAATAAAACTTGATCTACAGTTGAACTCTCAATGCCCCGGTAACTGCATGAGTTGTATTACTGTTAGTGTTAGTCAGTTCTTCATACTATTTCAGTGAGTAAATAAGAAAATCTGTAACAGATGTCGCCAGTCATTTATACAAATTTGAGGTTGCTATTTTAATGCAAAACACATGCGTATCATCATTTGATGAAAACTGACATGATTCCAATGCCAAGAATTACACCTTAAACTTGATTGATCTATAAAAGAAATAAATGAAATGACACAAATACGTCTGAGCAATAAATATATTATAAAATAAAAACACACTCCAAGGGAATTTCTTTGTACGCCGGCGGTTCTCGATGATCAGCAGTTTCAGGAGTTTGTTGCTTCTGTTGTATTGGATCTGTTACAGTCGGGACGTGCTTGTTAACTAATACTTGTCGGTTCTGGACTTGTTCCCCTGATCATTGTTTTTAATAAGTTAGCCAAATAAATAAAAAATATAAAATTAGCTAGTGAATACAAGTATAAATGCAGATTAAGAAACAGAAAGTATAAACCTGGTGAACAAATGCCATCCAAATCAAGGATGTCATGTTTCCAGATGGGTTTCCTTGTTTGTGCATCTACGAGAGCACCACTGCATTTGTCGAATGTCTGGTTTGTATATCTCTTCAACACAGCCTTTGAACTACGAGATACAACACAGCGACCAAAACCTGACAATTTAGCAGTCGTATTTTGTTTGTAGGCTCAATCATAATTTTAAAAAATCAACACCAGGGACCAACCAACCAACCTCTATCGAGAGATGCCTGATTGATGATGAGAGCATCTTCGATGTCATAACCTGAGTAGCTCATGACTGCCACTGTAGCGTTTTGTCCTGCTGGTATCTTATCAAATCCTATCATCTGTATTGTCTGTGAATAGTAAAGGCTAAAAAGTCATTTCTCTCCTACAATATTTAGTTTCAGAAGTTTCAATAGCACATCACACACATTATATAATAGGTTGGGAGATTTTTTGCATTCAACCCAGGCATATTGCAAATCAAGACCAGGCGTCTTTAACTCTCACATGCCCTGTAATTGTAATAATCTTTCTCACGTAATTTCGACTTGGCCTGTGAACCGACCAGCACTCTTTCAAATTCAAATTACGGGGTATGAAATAATTAAACAAACTTTTAACTTGAAAACGTTAGTGTTGGGCAAAATTTGCCTCGATATGCCAGCTATAAGACATAATGTAAGACATAATGGAAGGTTTTGGGCAGGCACATCAATTCATCTAAATGTGCATCAATGCAAATACATTTTGCAATGTTAAACTTAGTTGAAGTGGAACAATTGTCCGATGACTCACAACACACTGAATAAAGTCCTGCTTGCAATAAATATGATACAATTGACATCAAGTCAATACAAGAATGGTTAAAAAAAGAAATCTCTTTACTATGCATGATAGAAGCTTGCATGGTAGTCTTACCATATGCGTGTTAGCAGATTGACAATGAACGTGTTAGCTAGGAGTGTTCACGATATTAGCTCAACTCAAACGTCGAAGATATTGATAGATGTTCAATAGTACTAAGCATTAGTATCAAGAAAATTGAAAAAATTGTTACATTAGCTGGGAGAACTGTCCCATTGAAAAAAAGAATAACACTGATGCTGCTGGGTCACTGTTTAATTTTGATAATGATTGGTAGTAAAAATGATATTCCATAGAATTTTGGATATAATGAAAATCTATACTTGCCTGCATCCTTGTTCAAACTTGCATCCTTCTTATAGGGTATATTTAAACAGTATGGCCGTATTATATTTTTGCTAGCATTTTATCTTAACCATATTTCATAGTCGAAGCTGCGCTAAGGCTAAATATTAAAAACATGATTTCGCGAAAAAATGGGCATATTTTTAAGTAACTGTAACATTTTCCCTATCTTAAATATTTATCCTTAGCGTTTACCATTTCTTACTAAATTTCCATCTATTTATTCATTTGAGAATTACTTACCCCTTTATTTATCTATCTTTTTTTAATCTTAATATATCCATTTAATTATTTATTCGTTCATTTTTAATTCTGTAGAATTTATCAAATAAAAAACTGAATATTTTTTGTCTCTTTAAATCATTTTTCATTCTGTTATAAAAATTTTTTAATTTTTATAGTTTACATTATTCTCGTTTTTATTTACATTTATATTCGGATCTATATTTTCACCATTATTTCCACTTAATCTTATATTTATACCCTGTGCATTGTACCAATTTCTGAGAATTTAGAAGTTTGATTTTAGTGAAGATTAACAAATTATAAAAGTGTGAATAATGTAATGAGCTATGACGAAAACAGTACAAACTTTAGTGGTGACGAGAGGTTTTTGAGGATAGCTGAGCAGGTACATGACAGTGTCCATGCGTTTTTGCTGGTTGTATCCGATGGTACCTGCATGATTCAACACATCAATCACACCATCACAACATCGCCATCCAGCCAGCCAAACAACTAACCAACTAAAATCATTTTATTAATAATTATTTATTAATAATCACACATGCAAGCAACTGAATAGGAAATAGAGAACAACAAAATGAGCATCTGCCATCTTTCGTGTGTAACATTTTAATGTTTTCAGAGAGGTGCAAAATAAGAAAGCCATAAGGAGGCTCGCAACCAATTTGACAAACTTTTTGACAAGAATCAGAAGAACAAACAGCGGTGATGCAAAAAGGTTACCACAAATAAATTATATGTGTTGCATCATTTCAGATAATAGTGAAGAACGTTATTTTGTGAAAAAAATAATAAAAAATACAAATGCTAAAAAAAAACTACTTGTTGGATTTTAAAATTAAACATTAAAAACAAACCCATGGCCTGTTTGCCCATAGCACATTGGTAGGTGTTACGGGGGGACTGGTTGTGGTGGGGGTAGGGAATCAGACCTGCGCACACGCCCAAGATCGTGAAGGGTTCTATCTCCAAGTGAGTTGTCTTCCTGAAATTTTTGTTCGTACATTTTTTAAAAATAAAAAACCGGAATATTAGCGATATCGCAAACAACAGCAGCAGAAATTATTAATTTATTTATCTACACACACGCGCGCACACACACACACACACACACACACACACACACACACACACACACACAAGGTAGATTGAATAAAGACAATAAATTTTAGATAAATCATTCCCTTTGAGCTAAAAGAGCTAATAAAAGCAGTGATAGCAAAAGTAATAGAAAACTAGCAGATCAATCAAATTTTAATTAGAAACAAGTCGGAACTAGATGGGAAATTGTAGAAAATAAGCATAAAAACATGTACAAAGGATAATGTAACATTTATATCAATATGAAATAACCACATAATTTTAACATGAAAATTGTCTAACTCGGTTTTACAAATTTCTAAAATACCTTGCCAAAATAATATCTCTATAATAAACTATTCTAAATGATGAATGTTTGATGGAGATGTTACAAAATGATGAACCACTAACTCCGTGATGTCCTTTTCATACATGGCTATCAAGCAGTCATTCTCTTCGTTGACATCCAAGTATTCAACCAGGCCTTCATGTAGGAAGTCTTCAAACGTCCTCTTGGCAGAATTCCTGAATGTGATGACGAAAAAATATTTGTGAAATTTTTTTAAGAAAATATTTTTAATATTACCACAAAATAAAGTTTTTTTTATATAAAAATATTGTAAAATATTTCGTGAAATGAAAATGCTGATTGAAAAGTCGAACTTTGATTTGCCAGTCAAAGAATCCAGATGATCTCTCTTTACCTTTGGCTTCTTATTCTCAACTATTATGTATGGCCTGCAATGGATGATTAGCACATTCATTCAGTATGTGTGCAGCATATATTATATTATAATAATTATAATATATAAACATATAATTATAACATAAAAGATGATATAAATATTATATATACCCAATTAGTTTATTAATTATCAAAATATATGTGCGCATTTCGAATGCCTCTAAGTGCAAGAATCAACTGTACATATAAATATTTAATGATGGTACATATTCTTACACCTCCACACATCACCACAAATACATCACACACACACACACACACACACACACACACACACAATCACATGCCACCACATCATTACCTGCAAACCCTCCCTCCATCCGTGGCGATGTGGACAGTCCTCCAGCAGTGGTTCAGACTGACGGAAACGAATTCACTAATTTTAGCGGCTCTACGCAGCATACGGAAGTCCCTCACCAACCTGTCGTAGTTGCGGATCACCCCAATGATGTTACCTTCAGGTCAAGGGTCAACGTTAAACATTTAGTAATGTAATGAGAACGAATCCCAACAAATTGTAAATCACGGTCTTTCAATATTAAATAAAATCAAACAATACTGATAGATAGAACACATGGCAAATATATACAACGTGACAAACAACGAACAGCACAATCTAATAAATAAAATAGTATAACATGAATCAACGAGGCCAAACATACCATTAACGAAAACCATGTAAACTTTATGTGATGTGATTTCCTCGCCATTGAGCATGTTGATGTCCTGCACACCGCGATCCAATGCTATCTTGATGATGTGATGCTCCGGAAGGTCGGTGGTTATGTGAGTCATCAGGGCTAGATTCTTTATTAGGCCGCATCCCTTTATCAAAGTTCACGAGTTTATTACTAACAAACTTATTAACATCTAAACTACTGTAAGCTGAGCAAACAAATGCAACCAGCAGTAAGAACGTATCTATTAAGAAACTCAACATAAAAAAAATCTATAAACTATCTAAGAAAAGGTGATTGTTGATTTCAACTGAAAACAAAAGAACATGGCGCTACATGACATTGGTAACAACCAGCATGACATCACAACACATCCTATTGTTACCAACATCCCATGACACGACAACAACCAGCCATCATACACTACATAACAGCTAATGTAGCATCAGTTGTTCTACAACACAAAACCACACCATACAACATCACAACCACCCGAACCACACCACACGACAACCGCCAAACGACCCACCTCTCCTTCAGGCGTATCAGATGGACACAACATGCCCCACTGTGATGTCTGCAGAGATCGAGGCCCGCTCACTTTGCGGGTTTTTTCAAACTGTTAGTTAATTGGAAGCATTATTTAGTAGAAATGAAATCTCTGGTGTCGTTGGAAATTATATTTTATAAGAAAAACCAGAAACGGATTTGTAATATTTAAAAATATAAATTAATAGACCGTTAATTCCAGTTTGAAGTTATTTCAAGTTTTATTGAGACAAAAAATTGTCAAATGATCTACATGAACAAACAAGCATAAATACAAGCTGATTTGACAGTATATAATACAAATAAAACTGTATGTATGTGTGTGTGTATGTGTGTACTGATTTTATATGTGTGTACTGATTGTATATGTGTGTATGTGTAAGATGAAACACACAATGGAACAGATGATTGCATGTAAAAAGTCTATGAATGCTCAACCACAAAAAATTTAAAAAATAAAAATCACAAAATTAGCGAACAGAAAAACATTATAAAAACCAAAAAGAAATAAATAAAACAGGGTAACAACAATTAAATGAAAATCAAATAACCTGGCTCGATATCCTGGTCATGTGACCGAGTGTGGATATGAACGACAACCTATGAAAAGGAATAAAAATGAATGTTATTCACGAAAGACTCCAGTCATATAGAAGACATGGCAAAACAGCAACGACAAGGAATAAAAAAGAAAATTGCCTTGTAACAACCTGGTCAGGAGCTGAGTTATGCCTCCCCTTCTCATTCTGAATCTTCTAATAGTCCAATTTCCCTGCAAGCACAACCGAGAGTTATTCTTTACATTTATTTGCCATCTATTTACTCATTATTGCCACCAGCACAACGAGTTTATCAGGAAAGATTGAGTAAGATGTTAAGATTGCACCACTTTCAAAACTAAAATAAAATCTGATGGCTGAAAGTTCAGATGCCACATGAAATCGTTAAAAAATTTTCATTAAAAAATGCTCATCTTTAAAAGTGCATTCGATAGTTATAAATTATCAATTATGCTGTAAAGATTTTCTTTCCTTCAAAGCTATCTTTTTTCAACTTTTTGAAAACCTTCCTAACTTTAATGATTAGAATTTCAGAACAGAAAATTACGAAAGAGACAAAAATAGAACTACTCTGATATCAAGTACACAAAGCCTTGCAAGCAAACTGCCATTACAACCATCTCCCTCACAAAGAAACATTTCAAAATGGCAATAAAATCTGGTATTAACTGTAGAGATGGCGTAGACGAGTCCGTTGGTGATCTGGTCCTGCCTCATGTGCGTCAGGATGTCAAATTCCGTCGTTCGCAGCTTTGGAATTGTTTGGTCGGCAATTTTCTTCAACTGTGGGTTTTAAGTTGGAATATTGCATCATCAAATTTTCTACAATAACGCATTCAGCGGCGATGTGTTTTCGATGAGCAATCTAAAACCAACCCAAATATGAGTTTGTTGAATGAGATAAAATAACAATCATTTCAAATTAGATGCATATATAAAATAACCTGGGGCCTTATAAAATTTAAACAAAGCAGTAAATTACAGATTATTAGACAAAAAAAATTCTAGAATGGGCGAATGTTTGAAACATCTGAACGACAAACCTCAAAATTGAAATTCTTAAAAAGATCCTCAAAAAGAAGCGACAGAAGCTGGCCAGCAAGCTCCAATCGTTTGTTGCCGTAGTAATCTCGATCATCACCTCGTGGCTGGTCTTGGTCCTGCACGATCAACAACCTCCTCATCATCTGGGCCATGTATATGGCCTTCAACTTGAAGTTCCAATTCACCACCTGTGTGTGTGTGTGTGTGTTTCAAATAGCAGAGCAGGTGACATCAAATTTGAAATAAAGTAATAAAATGTAAACAAACGATTTAGAAATTAATTATTATTTAATACTATCCTAAACAATAAGCACCATGCTAAAGAAGTAATTTTTCAAACAATTAAATTAACATGCAAGCAATTAATTCAACGAGAGTCTTGTGCTGAGCAAACGTACAGGGACATGGGCCAGGATAGTATCCTTCAATAATTCTCGGGCCTCTTTCACCCGCCAATCTTCATTCGATTCATTTTCAGCATTGTCATTCGATCGTGACGCACGTTGCCGAAGTTTTGACCCAATGTATTTAAGAGCCTGCAGATCATTAAAATTTAAAACCCATGTTGGCTGAAATTTTTACTTTAATTTTAGTCTATTTTTAAAAATTCTAAAACGGCATAAAAATGAAAAAGATGAAGAATGACCTGAAGTTCCGTAAAAACTTCAGCCTGTTGGCATTCTTCAAGACATGGAACCATTGCTTCTTGCACAAGAAGCTCCACCCCAACCATCTGCACAATTTCCATATCGCACTCGAATCCCATTGCCTTGAACATTATCATGATGGGAATATCCTGGAAAATAATTTAAAAACGTCCCGTGATAGGTCAGCTTTCCATTACGATCAACAAATCAAATTCATAATTTAATTGTCATATAAAAATCACCAGAGCATAGTGATCATCAAAATGACACCGTGTAAAACCTGGCAGTGTACGTTTGTTACCACAAATAACAATTTATAATTACTGTCGTGCCTAACTAGTTCTTGGCTACAAATTTATATTTGTAAAAGTTTAAAAAGCTTAGAGAACAAAAAAATGAAAAATTCGAATACATCGGTAAAAGTGTTGTGCTTTAAGTAGTACTTGTCACTCTTGATGCAGACGTACGTCTTGCTCTTCTTCTCATGGGTTGAACTGAAAATAAAAAATTTAACAAAATTCATTTATCAAACTATCTCAATAGAGCCAGCTCCGTTGAAACTTTTGTGGCAAAAGCATCAAACATGTGAGCACACAAATCATGGAAGCTAAAAAAATTTGCAACACAAACTGAAAACAGTAACGCAACATTTGTAAGATTTCCAGAACTTGTATAATTAATGGTGCGGATGTAACAGGAACGTGCGTAACAATAGCAAAATGAAGACAACATGCCTGGTGACGGAACACTGAAACATTCCTTTTCGATCAGTTTCGACCATCATTCTGTTTTTAGCAATTTGTTCTTGAATGAGGATGACCTTCTCAACGCCCTTGACAATGAAGTAACCGCCTGGGTCCAACGGACATTCCTTCATGTTGGCCAGTTCCAGTGGATCCTTACCAGTAAGCAAGCAGTTGGAACTCCTCAGCATGATCGGCATCCTGTCAACAGAATTGCGAGAAATCTTGAAAATAAAAACTACTCTAGTCTGATCACTATTATTTCGTCCTAAAAATTTATTTTATAATCTTTTTTCTTCCCTAATTTTGATCAGGTCAGAGCCCCTTCAAATTTTATTTTTACACCTGCACTCCAGACACCCCCTCCCAATTTAACAGCACACCTCTTCCTCTGCAATAAGTACTAATTCATTCACTCACCTACCACAAACACAGGATGCACAAAATCTATGCACTACTTCTCAGAAGAAGCATTATACAAATTTAAATTAAAACTTAGATAGCTAACGAAAAATGTAAATATGAAAATGAAGAAAATAGATGAATAAGTGAGAAGAACCTTCCTATAGGGACACCATTCTTCAAAACTCTCTGGCTGCCTCTCGTGTACTCGACATCGACTGTGATTGGAGCCGAATACGTCATGTCTCTGAGACGACACTGTACATACAAAGTATTTTATAGAAAGAAATGTGTTATCAATGAGTGTTGTTATAATTCCATGTTGCAACTGAACTGACATCCAGATTGTTTCAAATTTTAAAGAGATATGGAGGAATATTCACTAGAACTTCAGACACACAAGTTCATTACAATTAATGAACAGGAATCCCATCACCCATTAACGTGATAAAAGACAAAAAAATTCACAATGGCTCTTAAGAACTTTCAGTTGGAAGCAGTAAAAATGTAATTTTTCTTTTATGTTAGTAGTAAAACTGGTTTGTTTGCATTCAAAGTAATGGAGGGAAAAAAATATTTTGCTTACATCATGAGGACTGATCGGATGGCTGATGCTCAGTGCTTCCTGGACATCGGGCTTGCCAACGTAAATATTTTTGTACCTGGTTGGGGCAGTTGGATGGATGGATGGTGGTGTCACTTGAATTTGTATGTTTAAAATTATTTCTTTTTCATCCATTTTCAAAATTTTACCAATGAGATTTAAAGATTTTTTGGAATGTATTTAATTACATTTAATAGAATGAGTCCATGTAAAACACAATGAATGAAACAGGAAAAAATTCATTTTTGGATGAAAATATAAAATGATCATAATAATCTTAATAATGTAATGGAGATCATTATCATGTGTTTCCCTTATTATAAAAGTATCAAACTTTAAAAAAGTTAATAACTAAAAGCACATTTGAATTTTGATTTGTAAATAAATGAATAATATAATTAAAAAGTTTGAAAAGTACTTGAGATAAAAATTTGGATCACTGTTAATGGTTAACTTTTCATTAGCTTTCACGATATCCTTGATCTGGGATGGGAATTTTAAATGTAGATTATATATATTTATGAAAATTTTTAAAAGATTAAAAACTGTATTCTCATTTATTCAAACATCATGTGGAACATTGACTAACATCTTTGTTGATGAAGTAGTTGAATGAATCAATGTGTTGGCTCACAAGTCCCTTCAACATCAAAAATGCAGGTACTAATTTGTTTTTGTCCTGATAGGAAGAAAAAATTACAGCTATTATTTTGAAAATTTCATCAACTAACTAAACATTCTATACTCAAAATAAGTTTTATTGCGATGTACAGGAAAAAAAATTGTTAAAATAAAAACTAAAAAGTGATTTGACATTTGATCATATTATTTTTTATATTCATATGCATTTGTGACATGTATGTTTTTTCACACAGAAACAAGATCTTTTATCTTATATTTGAAAATATAATTTTGGTTAAATTAGTAAGACAAAAATTAGTCACTAAATTTAAAAAAAAAGACAAATATCATGAGATCAAAGAGACAATTATATATTATATTATTATAGTTTTTTTTAATAATTTCACCAAAAACGTGTCTGCATAAAAAAATTAATAATTGTATCTATTGATCATGATGACTTTATTTAAAATTTTTTAAATAAAAAATGATTGGAATGTAATGCAAAAATTAAAAAAAATTTAAGACAAAAAACAACAAAACCTCGATATCGCTGATGGGTTTTGACAGCGAATTCTTGTCATTGAACATGTAATCTAGCAAACACTGCATCTTGAAACTAAATAATTTTCAGAATTTTCAATTTCGGCAAATAGTAAAAAAATTGTTTAAAAACGAAAACGATTTAAACTTGTTTGTAAATACACCATGTGCATAATATATATAGTAAGTATCTTGGGTATCTTATATATACAATGCGTGAATATTATCTTTTATGGAAAGCGAACAAAATTGTAGTAAAAAGATATATAAATTTTGTTATAGGAATTGAGCTATACAATACCTAAATTTAAAGTTGACCGAGAAGCATTTGAATCATTATACATTAAGTATTTATTAGCTATTTTATACTGAATAAAAAAAATACAAAAAATGCGACATCCACGCTGTTCTTGCTATTGTGAAAGATTTTTAATGGGAAGGATAGAAATTCAATCTAAAATCTTTTTAAAAATTAACATAAAACGTAACCAAGCACAAAATAATAATATGTTGATACAAGAATTGTATAACAATAGTACTTGAGCATTGACATTGATCGGGAAACGTTAGGCTTTATTTTTTACATTTTAGCTCTTGCAACCCAAGCAATGAATTACACTAATCAATCAATCAATCAATCAATCAATCAATCAATCAATCAATCAATCAATCAATCAATCAATCAATCAATCTATCAATCAATCAATCAATCAATCAATCAATCAATCAATCAATCAATCAATCAATCAATCAATCAATCAATCAATCAATCAATCAATCAATCAATCAATCAATCAATCAATCAATCAATCAATCAATCAATCAATCAATCAATCAATCAATCAATCAATCAATCAATCAATCAATCAATCAATCAATCAATCAATCAATCAATCAATCAATCAATCAATCAATCAATCAATCAATCAATCAATCAATCAATCAATCAATCAATCAATCAATCAATCAATCAATCAATCAATCAATCAATCAATCAATCAATTAGCTTATAAAGCGCTATTTCCGCGATGTTCAACAGCGCTCCTCAATGAATTTTGAAAACAGATGGGTCTTGAGATCCGCTCTGAACTTCGCAAGTGATGGAGAAATAGTTAGAGAAGTAGGTAGAGAGTTCCCGAGAAAAGGACCAGAAAAAGCAAAAGCAGATTTGGCAAAAGAGTGTTTAACACGAGTTAAGAAAAAGCGAGAAGAAGAAGACGATCGTAAACCGGGGCGTTTAGGTTCAATTAATATATCTGATAAATACTTAGGAAATAATTTAGATTGAGACTTATACATGAACGTGCAAATTTTAAAAATTATTCTATATTTTATAGGTAGCCAGTGCAAGAGAACAAGATATGGAGATATATGAGAAAAGAAAGGGGCAAGAGCAACTAGACGAGCAGCAGAGTTAAAAGCTTTACTTAAAGGATAGAGTATAGAGTCAGGAAGACCATAGTAGAGCGAGTTACAATAATCAATCCTAGATAAGACTAACGAAGTAACAAGAAGGAGAAGAGTAGGATCATCAAGAAAAGGCAAAAGTTTTTTTATTCTACGTAGATGAAAGTAAGAGCTTCTAGCAACACTATTAATCTGAGAAGAGAGAGACATAGTAGAATCAAAGATAAAATCTAGACTACGAAACTTATGAGAGACATCAAGGGTTTTAGAATCAGGTAAGATAATAGGAGGAATAGTAATTGAGTGTTTAGATTTATTAAAACAAATTAATTCAAACTTAGAAGGATTAAGTTTAAGGCACTTAGAGTGAGTCAGACCAAGCGATAATCGAAGAAAGACATAGAGATAAATTATGAAGAACACTATTGAGATTAGATGGAGGAAAAGAAGTATAAATATAAGAATCATCAGCATATAGTTGACTAGAGAAAGAAAAGTTATTAATAATACGAGGTAGTTCAGAAGTATAGAGTATAAATAAAAGAGGGCCAAGGATAGAACCCTGAAGAGTAGAGGAGTTAGAAGTAGAATTATTGAGAACAACAGAAGAAAAACGATTACAAAGATAAGAAGAAAACCAAGATAGACAAGAATCAGTAATATTAAAAGAAAGATGCAGCAGTCTCAAGAGAATAGTATGGTCAACAGTATCAAAAGCTGAAGAAAAGTCAAGAGCAAGAAGAAGAGTAAGATTACTATTGTCACTAGAGAGAAGGATATCATTGTTTATTTTAAGTAAAGAAGTTTCAGTACTGTGAGCAGGTCTGAAACCAGATTGAGATATATGGAAAGAGCAAAGAGTTAAAGTCTAAATAGGATGAGAGTTGATTAAAAACAACTTTTTCTATTATTTTAGAGATGAAAGTAATATTAGTTACAGGTCTATAATTAGATAAAGAGGTAGGATCTAGGGATATGTTTTTAAGAATAGGAATAACAATAGAATTCTTATAAGAAGCAGGAAATTTAGAGGTGGAAAGAGATAAATTAACTAATTTGAGAATGATTGGATAAAATATTGAAGAGAATTCTTTAAGTAAATTAGAAGGAAGTAGATCTAGAGAACAGGTTGTAGACGACATAGAATTAATAATTTTAGTTAGTTCTAAAAGATTTATTGGAGTAAATACAGAGAAAGATTCAGTAGTAAGTTTAGTAAAGTTATGAGAAGAAAAATTAGAATTAGATGTTCTTAAAGAAGTAATTTTATTTACAAAAAAGTCATGAAACTGTTGAGCAGAAAAAGATGAGTGAGAAGATTTTTTATGTAGAAGTTTAGATAGAACAGACCACCTATTTTTAGATGTTGAAGCAGATGTTATAGAATTTCTAAGAAAAGTAGAGTGTTTAGAGAATAGTAGATATTTATAATTAATCAGTTCAGATTCATAGATAGAATAAAGAGAGTTAGATGGATTTAACCTATAGGCTTTCTCCAGTCTTCTAAGACTTTTCTTGGCTACTACACAAGCATAATCAAACCAAGGAGCCTTACGAGAATAGAGCCTATAAGTAAAAGATTTAAGAGGAATAAGCTTATCAAGAATAGAAGTAATGTAGATATTAAAAGCACAGACAAAATCATCAACATCAGAAAATATGGTAGTATCAAAAATAGTTTCAGTAAGAGATTGAAGAAAAATATCTTTATTAAGAGAAGACCAGCATCTTTTAGAAATAGACATAGATGAATTTGAAGGAACTTACGCACTCGACTTGAACGTTGAATTGAAAGCCTTGTTATAATCTAACGGCTGGCTATTTGAAAATTCACTGCACAAATTATAATGAATGCCTGTCAGCGCTGCTCTTGCTGCCATGAAGTTATAGGCGCTCGTGTAAGAGCAGGCGATGTCCTGATGCTCGCACCTGTATTAATCAGGGCTTTAGTCGTCAAGTGGCGTATGGTGTACTGAGCGGTTTCTATACATTTGTTGAGGAAGAAAATGACGATATACGATATAGGCTATTTAATGAACACAAATCGTTCCGCGCTTATTTGTAAGATAAACACACACACATACGTACACGGACATATACGTTTATAAACCATTATAATAATTATAACAAATATATCAATATATATATATATATATATATATATATATATTGTCAGAAATTTTATGAAACTGGTGGTGTGAGGTAATCTCTTCCTCTATTTTTCTCAGGGAATTTTTTTATGGTCCGACAATAATTTTTGTGTATATTTTTATCGTGAGTTCGACCAGTCCTGTGTGGCACTGGGCTTTTTCGAATTATATGATTTTACTGAGTAACACACGAACGCGTAAAAAAATTCGATAACAATTTTATTAATCGACGGAAGTAAATGAAAAGGAATTGAACTAAATGAACTCTATAATAATGTAAAATGTCAATGAACAAACTGGAGTACAGGAATTAGAACTTCTTCTTGTTGGGTCTTCGACTTGGGATATGTTTCTTGCCGTTTAATCGTACAACCTCGACGTGTGTAACCGATAGTGATGTCGATACAACTCCAAGAAATAAATAAAATTAATGCGGAAAAATTACAAAAATCGGAGCCTATGGAAATTGGAAGCTGCGTGTGAAACTATACCAATGAGTATAGAATCCAGCAAGGAACCCTAGGTCCACAAATAGAACAAGAAAAACAAAACAACGAGGCGGATTCATTTTCACAGAATCCAAGGCCTGTTTTCACTGGGCCTGTCAGTCAGTCGGTCGGCTTTCGCACAACCCTGGCCTGTTTTCACTGGGCCGTCGAGTCTGGTTGGCTTCCGCACAACCAGCACAAAACAACAAGAGTCAGAACAACACTGGAAACAAATTGTGTGACTTTAGTAACTATGCCAATGAGCATAGAATCACGAATTAAGTCTCTTAAATACCAGAATAGGCACCGATTATTCGAAGCTGCCTAACTGGTAAACCCAAGGCGGACTCTTTTTGAGAACTTAAGACGTTTCTGAAACTATGCCAATGAGCACAGAATCACGAATTAAGTCTCTTAGAAACCAGAATAGGAACCGATTATTTAAAGTTGCCTAGCTATTCAACCCAGTCCGTACTATCTTCTCCACTCTGTTATCAAAGCAAAATTAGATTTTGTTTCGGGTGATTTTAAACATAAAAATTTCCAAGGTATGTCCAATTAATCAAAAAAGCTACTAATTAAATTTTAAAATAATTTGTAATAATTTATGACGTCATCCAAATTGCAAAACAAACAAAAAATCGTCTTGTCACCTATCGAGTAAATTAACTTGCACCATGTCCCCTATCGAGTGAATAAATTTTGCGTTGAAAACTTTGAAGTATTTTTAGTCAGTATTATTTCATAATTCTGACACTATATACATTTATACATATATACAATATTCTATAAATTCTACCGAATGTTTGGCGTTAATATGTTTGTAGTTCATTTTTTCGATTTTTCTCACTAAAGTTTTTTGGTGAACTTATTATCCGAATTTATGCTGCAAATAAGGCCATATTTCGATTCCGAATGAACCATCATCAGTGCGATTTAGTTTATATAGGAAAATATTCACTTTGTCAAAGTGAACTTAGATGGAAATTAGGTGTCATGTTTCTTTATTGGCTGGTCCATCTTCGTTGGTTTCCTTTTTTTCATCGATAGCATCATATTCTTCTTTGTCACTATTTACAATGCTAGTTTTTATTACTTCTTTGTTTTCGTTGTTGATTAAGCAGCGCCGGGTTGGGAGTGGGGTTGTCATTTTTTGTTGTATATTTATTTTTGGTTTATTGATGTTAATTATGACTGCTTCTGCAATTTTAAGATGCGTGTAGTTGCTGTTCTGGTATATGATATTACTTTGGTGTTGCTGTCGAGGATTTCACGGCTAATAGGGTTCCGAATTTTCCATTTTTTCCATTGTTCTTTCTAGCAATGCTATGAATAGTATTGGTGATATTGGATCGCCCTGTCTGCTTCCAATGTCTACCTTTATCCAATTCCCAAGTTCTGTACCTATTGTTACCGACATTTTTGATTCTTCATAAAGTCCTTTCAGTACTTTGACCTGCTTTTCTGATGTCCCCATACTTTCTTAAAATAAACAAAACAATGGTAAATTGTCTGACCGCTACCATTTGCATCCTCTATCAGCGGTCTCAACATCAGAATTTGTTGGATCGTGCTTCTGTCCTTGTTCTTCATGCAGATGTTGCTCTATGACCTTTTCCAGTTGTTCTTTTATGATGGTCAGCATGATCTTGCATATGTGCGAAATTAGTGCAATTGATCTGTAATTATTACGCTCTTTTTAGTCTCACTTTTTCGGCAGCATAACCAACACTGACTTGCACCATTCTTCTGGCCACTTTCCATTTTCCCAAATTTCTTGACAGATTGTGGGAATTTTTTTACATATCCTTCCCTGTACTTTTGTTGTTCTTCAATTTACTCATTGTTCTTGTAATTTCTTCCCTCGTTATTTAACTTTCTTCTTCATTGATTATTTTTCTACTTTTCAAAATTTCAAGCGTTTCTTTTTTGTATGTGTTCTTGTCTGCGAATAAGTCTTTAATATATTCAGTCCATCAATCCTTAAATTTTTACTTTCTGTTAGGATTTTTCCGTTTTTATCTTTAATAATCCTTGACATATTTTTCTGTTTTCCTTTAAACTGTTTAACCTGCTGGTACGCCTCTCTTGTCTTGCCCAATTATCGTCTATACCTTTTCACATTTGCCATTAATCCATCTCCTTTTATCTGCTCTAGCACTTTTTCTTTATTTTTTTTTCTGTTCTATTCTGTTCAAGCAATCCACCATCCAGCAATAGAAAAACCAAAATTAACCCACAATACCATAAAGATAAAACATCATAAAAATGTAATACTATATATAAGTCGCCAAAGATTTAATTTTCACTAACCGAACGATTCATAAAGTTCGTTCAAATAAACATTTTTTAATTATTTAATATCTGAAAGGAGATGCAATTCCTAATGTTGGGTAGCGGGGTGTTCCGGTTGAATGGAGCACGTTTATTATTTATTTCATTAAAAGTAACATGTAGACAATTTATCGAAATACGCAGGCAAACGTGATGACGGGAGTTTAATGATAACTAAACGAAAATGAAGTGAACAGAATTCTATAGAATTCATTAAGTACGACTCTGGAAGTACGATTTATCAGTCTTCGAAAAAGTATTTCTTGCTTATGAAATGTGCTAAAAAAACCCTCAAGCTACCGACCCATGAAGAAAAACAAAAGAAGACATCAACGAGAACAAATTGGATAACTGTTTTATTTTATTCTGATAATTTTCGTTTTCGAGTGTTTTTAAATTGGTTTACTTGTTCCAATTTTTTACCCTTTTTGCACGATGTTTGTTCTTGAGGTCTGGTCTTTACAACTTCCATTTTCGCCCAAATATCATTATCGGCTGTTGTTTTGTCTTCCTGAAAATGTGGTAAACAAAAAAAATACAGAAAAATCAAAAAAACATTATTTTATATTAAATCTCTAAATTTATCTTAGAATAAAAAATAAAATGGCCTCAGATGACTTGATACACAGAATTTTGCGCTAACCAATATCCAAACACACATACACATAAACACGAACGCACATTCATACATGTACGCTTATAGTAAATTTGTTAAATTATAATAATGATGAAAAGTTTTAGTTATAAATAGCGTTAAATCTTTTCAACAAAATCAAGTTGGTTAATAGGACCAGCCACTTTGACAAATCCTGCTATATATATAATATATATATATATATTAGTTAAGGCACTATTACAAGTATCATTCTGTTTACTTTATGTGTCTTTGAAGAAATGAAATAAAATAAAAAATAATATATATATATATATACCAGTATATATATATAAAGACCAAAATTAACGCAGTAATTTATGAAATCTATCAAATTTCTAGCGTTGGATAGTATTTTGTTACATTTAATAGTAGTAGCAGCAGTAATGCTGTTCTAGAGGTTATCCAGAGAGCATGCTTAGTTAGAAATAATGAGAAATATAACAGAAAACCATCCAACGCTAGAAATTTGGTAGAATTCATAAATTACTGTATATATATATATATATATATATATATATATATATATATATATATATATATATATACACATATATAATTTTTATTTGTTTTCATTTACTCAAATGTTTGCTTATAAACCAGATTTGTAATGTTTTATTCAGCAAAAAATGAAACAAATTAAAAAAAACTATAATAAACCATTGTACAAATAAAAATTAAAAGAAAAAACAGTTAGCCCTAACAAACTTGAATGTGTTTGTGTGTGTTTAAAATGTTGACGGCGGGAACATCATCTTTCATCAACAAACATGTGGATTTCGCTTTCAAATATGTCTATAAGAACAATTATAATAACTATTAAGCACTTTGTCCTTCGTAATCAACTCATTATTTCAAATTAACTTTTACTTCATTTTGTCAAGTAAACAATAATTTAGTGGAATCAGTAGCATGAAAACCACAGAGTTTTAAAATAATGTACCATCTAAATAAACAGATTATTCGTTAAATTAATAGATATAAAAATTTGTCGTAGAAGCTTTCAGATGAAACCGCCAGACTAATCAATAACAAAAAACGTATATATATATATATATATATATATATAAAACTATAAATCAGTTTGACCGTTGAATTTGAATAGAACATAACCTTATGAAGCAAGACTTTTGACTGTATGTCATGAATCCTAAGAAATCTATCCAAACCGCAAGATGCTACAATATTTTGTTGAGGACTGCACAAAACTTGCTTGATGGCGCCGTTCGCACCTTTGAACTTGTGAACCAGATGCCCTAACGAACATTGTGAAAGGTATTGAATGTTCATTTAAATGTTTATACAGTAAAAACAAACACGAAGAAAAACTCAAAATGACCTAACATTTAAATATCTTTATTATAAAATGACTTAGTTAATTAAATAACAATAGTAAATGCTTAAAAAAGTGGTTGGTAAAATTGTAGCAAAATTAGAAAAAAAAGGTTAAAATGACATTTAAAAAATGATTAAATATTTCTTAATGGAAAGCTCTAGTGGACCCTTCTATAATTCAGATGCATGAACCAACAGATTAAAATCCAAAGACAAGAAATCATAGAGAAAGAAGATTCACAAAAATGGTCAAACGTAGTTATAGCTGCTTTAAGATAAAGCAAGATATAAACAACACAAAAAAATTTGAATATTTTTTTAATTTTTACCTTTTCCTCTCATGTCCAGAAGACCCATGACACCTCGAGTGTTTCCTACCACAATTTGTCTGGTAACAATTTATAAAAAAAATTAAGTACCTCATAGCAAACATCAACAATTTAAGAATAATTAAATCTAACTTGTTTGAATTTGCGATTGAGATGGTGGTGATAGGAGTATCTTCAAACAACATCTCTGCAATGGGTCTTCTCTGACATTTAGTGTCGTACAGGCGAACCTACAAAACAATGATGAAATTCTGAATATTTAATCAAATATAATCTCTTTCTCTTATATATGTTTGTGAACATATGAGGTGCTTGGTAAACAACCAGTAAAATTGCTGTGCTACATACCTGATGAAGGCCAGTGGAAGTGAAAATTAAATTGGAATCTGGAACGAACTCGACATCACATATGTACACAGGCACTCTTAAGTCCAACCAATCATTTTTCACCTGCAAGTAAAAGTTGAAATAAAATCGGTGCAAAATGAAGCCAAATGCATTAAGTAATAGGAAATAATAGAAAAAGAAGGATTACATTTTTTGCAGTGAATAAAATAGTCGGCTGTCCCTGGCCAGCAAGGTCCCAAATTTTTAATTCATTCTCCTTGCCACCTGTTGCAAATATGTGAGCTTCCTCTCTGCATTTTTGCTTCATCACATTTACATTTGCCCCAACGGATGTTTCTAACTAAATTCCAGAAAAATGATTCAACAAAAAAAATTAATAAAAGATGATTTTATTTTGATAAAGTCAATTAATTTTATATTCAACTGAAATAGTCCTAAAAATTTTAAAAATACATAAAGTTTGAAATTTATTTTTGTATTATTGTATTAAGCATTCAAAAAAGACAATAGAAATCAATTGCTACATCATTGCTGCCCTTGGTTTATAATTTTTATTAAATACTTTGTAGAAGAAAAACATTTCAAAATTAATATCACCAACTTTAACTCCATTACAATTGTTCCAGATCTGCAATTTGCCAGCCTCAGTGCAGGTCACAAAGTTACTGAAAGTGTAGAAATAATATTTAATTTCATCAGTTTACCCATGTAAAAATATAATCTACAAAAACTTACTCATCAAATTTTGAGATACTTATTAGTGTATCACTTTCATCCTTACACAGGCTGAGAAATTCAGGCTTTTCATTTTCTTTATATATTAGCACTTCTTGATTGGCATAGCCAATACAAATCTTTAAAAAATGATTGAAATGGTGCAATTACAAATTCTAAACAATCATCATTTCTTACAAATTTTTGAACTAAAATAAAAAACCTCCTCTTACCTCTGACTTGTCACAATTATTCCAGCACATGCACTTCACGACATGAGAATTGTCGATTTTTGTGGAGGAATTCAAGTTTCTCCACAACCCAGTACTTGCAGAAACACCTGGATTATAAGATCATGCACTCGTAAACATTTTAACCCACATGAAATACATTACGTTTGAATATCATGCATAATTGGGATATCAAAAAGAAGCCATAAGAGCCAATCTTTTTAAAAAGTTATTATTAAAGAACCAATAAAAATTTATTTAAAATTTTGGCAAAGCTCGAATTAAAAAATTAAAAAAAAAACCAGAAAACTTGAGTTTGGAATCCTTAAAGATACTTAGCTAAATTTGTTGTCATTAAAAAATTATAAAAAACTAAATAAGAGAAATAAGAACACAGATAGAAGAAACTAAGTGCAGAAACAAATATACAATGAGATTACTTTTAAAAAATATTTTGCTAAAAAATTGTTTAATAAACTTTCATGGAAACTTATGAACATCAACACAAACAATTAATAAAAGCTTGAGAATAAATAGAAATAATTGCTATGGTCTCTGATATATATAATATGTATGTCATCATCATCATCATCAAGCACATTTGTAGGCACTCAACCCTGTAAGGTAGGCAGAACCACCCAGTGTTCATTCCAGAGACCAAAGCCCCGGATTGACCTTGTTACATAGTCATGCACATTGTTTTAAACATATTTATACTAAGTTTAGGGTTCCACAAAACTTATCATCAGGTAAAGATCCTACTTTTACTTCAACTAACTCTCCCCTCTTCACCTAGTGCGGTGTCCGGTGAAAAGACCGCCTGCATAAAGCTGCCAAACCATAAGATCTCATAACACAAAGGTCGCAAAGCAATTAGACTGCATACATAATAGATGATAATAATAATATAATATTATAACAGTCGACCCATAAAATATTTTCCCATTTTATTACTGACCTACAACTGACCTACACTCTGAACAACCAATCTATAAACTAATCTATAATCTATACTGTCTAGTGTATTACAAATTTCTTGAAGTTTTTTGATGGCGGCTCTATGGTTCGTGCAGCCCCAAAAATGGGTTGATATGCTAGTGGATAATGGATATCTTTTTGTGAAAAAAAATAGGAAATGAAAAGATTTTTTGCAAGTGTAGCAAATACAAGAAAGAAAAATGTACAGTTCACTGTCACACCAGGCTCAATGAGATTGTGAAGTCGATTGGTGACCACAATCATGTTCCAGATTATGAGAATGTCAAAGCCAAGAGCTTTTTAATGGTTTAATTTTTGGTTTTGTATGGTTTTGGTTTGTATGTGAAGCAGCAGAAACCAGGGTTTCAAGTTATGTTATTGTCACAAACTGCACTTTTCATCTTCCACAAGCTGTTGTTGGTCAGCTTTCTGCAGTTGACAGCATAAAAAGATTAATGCGACGTTGCTCGTCAGTAAATAGTCAAAAAATGGGAAAAAGAAAAGACTAAAGTTTCGCTTACTATGGCTATGTTTGGTTGGATTCATAAGCGATTAGATTAGCCATTAGTAAGTTGAGTTCTTTTAATTTAAATTTAAAAAGTTACGAATAATTTGTGATTTTTGATGAGAGGAAGAAAAGACTACGGTTTCGCTTACTACGGCTACGGTTTCACTTTCACGTTTGGTTGAATTCATTAGCGATTAGCCATTGATTAGATTAGAAGCCATTAGGATTAGATTAATAGTGATTAGTAGCTAATTTAGTTAGCGTTACCGTTACCCTACCGTTAGTAAGTAAAGTTAAAGGTGATTTCAAACCTTTCAAATATCCAGTTTCGGTTCCCACATAAATGTTATATTCAGCCATTGATTTAAAAATAAAATATAATATAAAATAAATAGATTACAAACAAAACACGCCTGCCACTTTTATTATTTACCAAACTAAAAGTGAATACCAAAGAAATTGTAACACGAATATTATAACTACATAACTAGAATAAATATAGCGGCCTTCGCTAACTTTTAACGGTCGAACAAGGAGTTTACTTTCGGAGAAAACTTGGCGCATTCAATTATATAAATTCCATGATTTGGCGGGTGATTTTTTATCGTTCGAGTCAAAAGTTACGATCGTATATTTACTAATTTTGGAATATTGCTTTTCTTTAAAATGTTAAAATTTTAATTTTTTTATATTTGTTATTCAATGTGGTAATTAATTACCTTTATTTGGTACATATATGTAGATTAACATATATAGGAAATTGTGTGCGTGTTATTATCGGCTGATCAATGTTACAAATGGTTAATTTCCTATATATGTATATTCTTTATATATGATTTGGTATAAAATAAAAAAAATAAAATCGACATTACCAAAAGTAATTAAAAGTTAAAAAAATTGAGGTTCTTTCCATATCCCTGCTTCAACCCATAAGAAAGTGTTGTATATTGGTAAAAAAGCCTCCCCTTGATTATAACCATAGATATATATAATATCCACGATTAAAAGAAAAGACGTTGCTGTGTTCAACTTTTTTGTGTACAATTCATAACATATAGACTGCAACGTATAATTGCGTCATTTATGAGTCTTCATGAGGGAATCAAACCCATGGATATGTATATCCATGATCAAACCGTCGTAAACAGAACTGGAAGTTCACATTTCGGCATTTCACATTCCTTCCTTGGACGACTCCTTTACTAAGCTTTCTTTTCTCAGCAAGAGCTGAAACGCTGCAAACATATTTCAACAGATTAATGCCTTTTTGCTTCTGTCTTTTGATGCACTTACATCGATATTATCCGCATAATTATGATAAGCAAACTGGCTAACCTAAGAAAAAACCAATCCATACTTAAATAAGTTCAGAGGGAATGTTGACCACACCAAATTTACCTACAAAAGAATTTTCAACAAATGGATGGACGAAGACAATTAGAATTAATGATTGCATAGTATACTCTTCGAACCAATACAAACCAACTTTTACTCAACTCATTAAATAAACTTTATTACTCAACAAGAAACTGAAAATACAAACCAACTTTTACTCAACTCATTAAATAAACTTTATTACTCAACAAGAAACTGAACGCATTTGAAACAAAAGACAATAGTTAAAAGTTATTTATTTTATTAAAAAAAGCAATCCATCCAAGGTGAACAACAATTATGCGTTTAACGTTACATCAACATCTTAAATAAACTTGAAGTGTTATCGGTAATTTATTTCAGGCACTGTTATATTGGTCACCATGTATAAAACAATTAAAAACATTATTACAAAAATAATAGATTTATATTAAAACGTAAAAATCATTAAGAAAATTTTTGGGTTAATAAATTGCAAAACAAAAAAGTAAATGGTTAAATCGAAAAGAATAAATTATTAACAATTTATTTCTTCTAGAGTTGCAGGAATATTGCATATATTTCGCGAAAGTCGACGCTTGTCCACCCTGTCACTTACACGCTCAGTATCGTTCATTCCAGGAACTTTTGCATCTGCAGTTATTTGTATAGCCATTAATGAATGAATAAATAATAGTGATAAAAAAAAATGTTGAACAGTTCAGTAACTAAACATAAAACAATATTGCAATGTAAACAAGTGAAAAATGACAACAAAATGTTGACTGATACCTTCAGCTGTGGGAGGAGTAGGGGTTGTAGCTGTTTGACTTAAACCACTGGTGGGTGCTTTTCTTCTTTTAATTATTGGTGGCAAGGCCAAACCGACTTTTGATTTTTTCAATCCTTTAACTGAAGATCTATTGGTCATTGTTCCGGAGGTTCTAGAACCTTCGGATGTAGCGTCAGCATCATCCAATGCACGAGAGGCTTTGTTTAATTGAAGATTAATGACAACAAATATAATGATAGATGATATCGTTACTGCACTCAACCAGGCACCTACACCATAGAGTAGTAAGTTTACACCACTCTTTAAACTCTCAATATCATCTTGGTCCTTTTTCAATTCTGACTTTAAATCTTCAACACCAGTTTCAAGCCCTGTTTTTTTTTAAACTGAAGTTAGAATCCTACAGATGAAATGCTGATATTTTTGCTGAATTAACGAAAACAAACTGAAACTGACCAAGTGCTGATGCTCCAGCATTGCCAGGAGGACCAGTAGCCCCTGTAAAGCCAGTGTAGCCCGTATAACCTGTTGCTCCAGTTCTTCCAGTGGGACCAGTGGCACCAGTAAATCCAGTATATCCTGATGACCCTGTCCAGCCTGCATTTCCTTGCATTCCTGAGTTACCAGAAGGACCAGAGTTGCCTATAATAATTTGTATAACTTTATTAATACTTACAAAAATATAATAAATATATAATCATAAAAAACATATTTCTAAATTATTTATAAGGCCTTACACATGATCCAGTTTACGTCCAGGCTAGACTGTGCAGGCCTAGTTTGTGTCGTTAAGCCTGTGCAAATTCTGAATTTTTTGAAATTGGGCCTGACCAAGTTGTTACTAAGTTGTTGCTAAGCGGTTGACCACACAAAAACTTATCTAGTTATTTTATTTCAAACATTTTTACAATACTCAATACTTTGATCCACGTGTTTTTGTTTTATGTTTAAATTAGATGAATAGCCAGAACTCTAAACAAAACCGTTTGTTTCGTCTTTAAGTTGACTTTCAAAACAATAAATAAAAACCGAGCAAAATACAAGCCTGAAGGAAAAACTGAACAAAATTCTGAAACGTAAGATAAAATTGGTTCAGGCAAACCCGCGTGTACTTGCCTGCACAGACAAGCCGGAACATGAAACCGATCGTGTGTAGGGTGCTTTACTCATTAAAGTCATTAGTTAAAAATCAAGGAAAATGTTGAATATTAGAACAAATGAAAACCAGTATTTCCAGTATCTCCTTGTGGACCTTGAGAACCACTCTGACCCTGATTTCCAGGTTGCCCTGAGGAACCAGTTGCTCCAGTGGCACCTACCGGACCGTCATATCCGTTTGGACCTCTTTGTCCCATCTGGCCGACCGGACCTTTTAAACATTTACGTAATAAATGCCAAATTCATTAAAATATTTTTGAAAAATCAAGGTGCACAAGAATAGAGATAAATAGAAGAAACAAACCAGTATTTCCAGGTAACCCAGTGTTTCCAGAAGCTCCAGTTGCTCCTGCCTGTCCGCGTGGTCCAGCAGGTCCAGAAGGTCCTGTTGAACCAGTAGGACCTATATCTCCAGTAAACCCATTACCTCCTGTGGGCCCTGTGGCTCCCGTAGCTCCTGTGGCACCTTGAGATCCATCAGCTCCAGAAGCACCTGTTGAACCAATTGGTCCCCTTGGTCCAACTGGTCCAGGTGAACCTGGGCTTCCAATAGTTCCAGTGTTTCCTTGAGGACCTGGGTTGCCCCGTGGCCCAGCATTTCCTGGTGGTCCTTGATTACCAATGGGTCCGACAGGCCCAGAAATACCGGTCGCTCCTTGTGGTCCAATTGGTCCTGGTTGACCTTGGGGTCCAATTACTCCTTGTGCTCCAGTAGAACCAGTTGAGCCTGGTGGTCCATCAGGTCCCTTCAAACAGAAAATATTATAAGCGCTTAATATAGCAAAACAGACCTATTCGCACTCAAGATGTTGCTGATAAATTGATAGAAAATTTATTTCTTCAAAAGAAGGTTACCACATTAAAAATTTATAGGTAAAATAAACTAGCCGTAGGTCCGTTAGGTCCAGGAAAGCCAGGTTGTCCAGCTGGTCCAACTGGCCCAGGGACTCCTGGACCTCCAGCAAACCCCTGAGGACCAACAAGACCTTTATCACCGGTTGGGCCAGTATTTCCCGGCAGACCCCTTGGGCCAAGAGGTCCTAATGGACCTGATGGACCTACTGGACCAGTATTTCCTGTTGACCCAGGTGGTCCCGGTTGACCACGTAGACCTGGCTGACCTTGCAAACCATTAGGACCAGCATCACCTGCAGGTCCAACTGGACCAGGGCTTCCTGCATTACCTGGTGGTCCCATGAAACCAGATGATCCTGTTGCTCCGGTATTTCCCGGACTTCCAGGTGGTCCTACAACACCAGCATCACCGTTATCACCCGGAAATCCAGGCGGTCCAGCCACACCAGGTTGTCCAATTGATCCTAATGTTCCTGGCGGTCCAGGGTCTCCACGTGGTCCTTGAGAACCCGGACTACCAGTATTACCCATGGAACCGGGCAGACCTCTTTCACCTACCTGTCCAGAAGGACCAACAGGCCCAATAGGACCCGATGGTCCAACTGGACCTATTGGACCTGGTGGACCAATTTGACCTATAGGTCCTTTTATCCCTTGAATGCCTGTAGCACCAATTGGTCCGGTGTTACCAGGAGAACCTTGTTGCCCTGCAAAACCTGGCTGCCCGGGTGGTCCAGTGTTCCCCGTCGCCCCGGTACCTCCTCTTTCACCAGAAGGACCAGCTAATCCAGGAAGACCATTTGATCCAATACTCCCAGGACTGCCTTTATCACCTTGTATTCCAAGTGGACCAGCCGAACCTTGCTGTCCAAGATCTCCAGCAGGACCCGGTTGACCAGAATTGCCTGTATCACCTTGGGCTCCGGGAACTCCTTGAACACCTGGTTGTCCAGGACTTCCTAAAGTGCCAGTAGCTCCTGGAGGACCTGGTGGCCCTTGTTGACCTAACGGACCAGGTGAACCAATATTACCAGCTGGACCAATTGATCCTTGTGGCCCAGGAAGACCTTTAGCACCCTGTGGTCCTTGGGGTCCGGGTAGGCCACTAGACCCTGGTAATCCAGTCGATCCTGTAGAACCAAGGTCACCATTGGGGCCAGGTAATCCAGGCACGCCCTGATTTCCTACATGATTACAATGTTAAATGATAATATTTGAAAAAAAAATTAATAAATTTTATAACTACCTGTTGGGCCCATAGGACCCCTATCTCCTGTTGCACCAGGCAACCCAGGAACACCTATTATTCCTTGACCTGGTGATCCTGGCATACCTGCAGGCCCAGGTGAGCCTTGTGATCCTGGTTGACCAGGTGAACCAATAAGTCCTTTATTTCCTTGTTGTCCAGTTGACCCTGTTGATCCAGTGTCACCAGGATCACCACTTAATCCTCTGTCTCCTACAATACCAGCAGAACCAGCAGGACCGGGTGGCCCGATTAATCCAATAGCACCAGAAAGACCTTGTGGTCCTGGTTGACCTGTTAATCATTTAACGATAAAATCCATCATCAAATGGAGCTAAACAATAAAAAAGTGTTTAAAAATTTGTTAAACCTATGGGTCCTTGAGGCCCTTGAGGTCCAGCTCGTCCTACAGGTCCTGATGCACCTTTTAATCCAATTGGTCCGGGCTGACCGGGAAAACCAGAAGTTCCAGGCGCACCAGTATCTCCAGTAGGTCCAACAGGTCCAACAGATCCTCTATCTCCTTGTTGACCTGGGCTGCCAGGGTTACCAGCAAGACCAGCAGGACCAGGTAACCCTTGAATTCCATTGGGACCAACTTGACCAGGTTGGCCTTAAAATATCGAAAAACATAAAATTTAATAGTAAAAAGAATATCTATGAAAAATTCAATATCTGAATTTAATTACCTCTGCTTCCAGGTTGTCCAGTATTTCCTTGACCTCCAGGCGTTCCTGATTCTCCTTGTAAGCCAGGCAAACCTTCGGGACCCACAGATCCAACTGGTCCTGGTGCTCCGGAAGGTCCGGTAGCGCCAGGAGCCCCCTGACTACCTGGAGAACCTCTAAAGCCTTGGGGTCCTGAGGGGCCAGGAGATCCCTTAGGTCCTGATGGACCAGCCGGTCCCTTTAAGCCGGGTGATCCTAAAGGTCCAGGTGAACCAATTGGCCCTGTTGCTCCTGTTGTTCCAAGTGGTCCCATTGGCCCAACTGGACCTACAGGACCAGGAGATCCGGTGTTGCCTATAGATCCAGTATCGCCTGAATTGAAAAGAATTGAAAAAACAAAATAGAAACTTTTTTTCCGGAAACACATTTAAACAAAAAACAAAATATACAAATATAACAACCGGTAGCTCCCGGACTTCCAGCTGAACCGGGTAAACCTTGACTTCCTTGTTGACCACTTTGGCCTGCAAGACCAGGTAGACCTGATGGTCCTGGTTGACCTGTATCACCAGGCAAACCTTGAAATCCTGGATTTCCCATTGGCCCCTGAGGCCCAGTTTGACCCTGAGCACCTGGCAAACCTGGCGAACCTCTAAATCCCTGTGGTCCAGGTAAGCCAGCATCTCCAGTGTTTCCAAGAGGTCCGGCAGGACCTAAAATCAGAAAATGAATTACATTAAGATGCTTTCAACATTGAAAACCAAAGAATATTTTAAAATTACCAGTAGATCCTTGTGGTCCTGGGCTTCCATTTAGCCCTGGTTGTCCTGTAGAGCCAGTTGCACCAACCGATCCTCTATCTCCAGAAGGTCCTTGAGGTCCAATGGGACCTGGAGTTCCAGTAGCACCGGTGCCACCAGTTGCACCTTGAGATCCTGGAACTCCTCGATCACCTTGAATTCCAGGCAGACCTTTATTGCCTTGAACACCCGGCTGACCCTGTGAACCTTGAGCGCCTTGAGCACCTGGTGATCCTTTTGGACCTTGTGAACCAGAAGAACCAGACTGTCCTTGAGTTCCAGGCAAGCCAGCCGAGCCTGGCAAACCTAATAAAAATAAAAAATCCAACATATTATTCTATATTCAATAACATCAAATTTCTTTGATAAACGCTAAAAAAATCAAACCTGGTGATCCTCGAAGTCCTTGCGGTCCAGAGCTACCTTTATTCCCGGTTGGGCCAACTGCTCCAGGAAGTCCTGTAGCTCCTTGATCACCTCGTGGTCCAGCAGGTCCTTGTGGTCCTTGTGAACCAGGCTGCCCAGCTAAGCCAGTAGGCCCAGTAGCTCCATCGGCTCCCCTTAGACCTTTCGAACCAGGTTGACCAATTGGACCAGACGGCCCAATTAAACCTGGTAATCCAACTGCACCACGATCACCTGCTAGACCTTGCTGACCGGCATTTCCAGGTAACCCTTATAATAAAGCACAAACACAATCGAATCACCATCAAAAGATAAAGTACAAACACCACAATAAATAAAATGGTACATCAATGCACGGGTGAAATTAAAAATACCTACCAGTTGGTCCTTTAAATCCTGTGCCACCAGTAGCACCTTTGTCACCAATTGGTCCAGGAGAACCAAAAAAGCCACTAGGACCAATTGGCCCTTGTGGTCCAGGAGATCCAGACTCTCCAGGTTGCCCTTGGACACCCATTGGTCCGGGTTGACCAGGTGAACCAACTTGACCTGGATTTCCTGAAGAACCAGGTAATCCTCGTACGCCTTGAGCACCAACTTGACCTTGATTACCTTGCAATCCTGTGGAGCCAGTTGCTCCTGTTGCCCCAGTATCTCCTCTAGCTCCAGATTGACCTGTAGGACCAGGAAGCCCGATATCACCTTGTAATCCCGGTTGACCTGCAGGTCCTTGGGGTCCTTTCAAACCTGAAACACCTGACGGGCCTGGCTGACCTAAGGAGCCTTTAGAGCCAGGTGAACCGGCTATTCCTCTATTCCCTGTGTCTCCAGGTTCTCCAGGTAAACCAATTTGACCGGAAGGTCCGGGTTGTCCAATTATTCCAGTTGGTCCAGTATCACCAGTAAAACCTTGACTTCCTGGTAAACCTCTGTCTCCGACTAATCCAGTTTGTCCTTTAGAACCAGGTAATCCTGTTTGCCCAGGTGAACCTCGGGGACCTGCTGGCCCAGATTGCCCTCGTAAGCCTTGAGCACCAGCTGGTCCTGTGGATCCTTTGTTACCGCTAGGTCCAATTTGTCCAGAAGGTCCTAAAAAATAAAATAAAAAGTTTGTTTATTCTATATATTAAACTTATTTTTGATGCTAACAACCTTGAGGTCCAGGAAGACCATTGGGTCCTGATGGTCCAGTGTCTCCAGTAAAACCAGTGTCACCTGCTGTTCCAGGTAAACCAATAGGCCCAGAAGGACCTTGTTGCCCAGGCCCTCCATTATTTCCTTTGTCACCTGGAACTCCGACTGGACCAGGCAACCCTATGTCACCAAGAGGACCTGCAGGTCCTGGTTGACCAGTGGGACCTGTATCACCAACTGGGCCAGGCTGACCAACTTGACCTTGTTGACCTGGGGATCCTAATGGCCCTGTTGGTCCTTGTTGTCCAAGAGAACCAGGTAAACCTGACAGCATAATAAAAATAAATTTAAACAACATATAAATAAGAGGATAAACGCGTGCTTCAAGGTAAGATTAGAACAAAATTTTATCTAGTTATTTTGTAACATATTGGTTATTTCAATTTAAAAATATGTTGTTAAATGTTAGAAAATAAACAAAAAGTTTTATTTTTTCTCTGTTTACGAGTTTATGTGCTAGTTGTTACATATTGGTATAATTAACTTTTTCGACCAGTTAATAGTTAAATAACACGCCAGTTATATTACAAAACTTACAAAGAGTTTTAAAAAAATGTGGGGGTCGCGTATTTAACAGAAATCAACAAAAAAAATCTGGGTGAATTTGATGTAAAATCAACAGCGATATGTTGGAATAAACTTGAATTCATTCATTGAGTTTGATAGAATTTTGAACACTAAGAAAATTTTATTTTTAGAAGCATTAGATTCTCATAAATAAGAGATGATTGAAGCAACATAGAAAGTATAAAATGGCAATTTTAGATAAAACTGAGCAAAACTTAGACGAGACACACGATAAGACAGCAACTGATGTTGACGACGTTGCAACGGTTGACTAACGTTGGATCAATTAAAAAGAAATACAATGAGCTACTTATATTGTTTAGACAATGTGTTTTTTTTTAAATAAGCAACGTACAAAACAACAAACCTTTCAGGTTTCAATATTTCAAGTCATAAAAAAAATAAAAAATAATTTAATTAACAGAATGCTGTTTTAAAAATTGCGTTCAGATACATATGTTCATCTAATATTTAATAATTTTAACTTAACACAGTTTCGTAATTATTAAATTTGAGACTGTGATTTCACCGCTCTTCTACCCAATCCTAATGATAAACAGATGATTTCCACTCCTTATTATAAAACTTTGATTCAATAGGGCACTTTGACTATCACATGCAGTTCATAACATTGACAAACAACGTAAAATAATACTATAACATATGTTAAAGCGTTCCTTGTTACTTGATTTGAACAAATTTAAAACAATAATTATTGAAAAATGATTACCGACCTCTATCTCCTTGTGGTCCTGGTGATCCATTATCCCCAGGTAAACCTTTATTTCCTTGAGTTCCTTGGATTCCAGGAGCACCAACTGATCCACTAGGGCCAGCAACGCCAGACTGCCCAGGATTACCAGTTGCTCCAGTCCCACCTTTAACACATAACAATAAATTAAAAAAAAAACTCAAAATACAAAAATTATTTTCAAACCTTGTTGCCCTGGCGATCCTCTTGGACCTGAAGGTCCTGCAAATCCCTGCAACCCAGGAGATCCAGCATCTCCACGAGGACCAGGTTGACCTGTAGCTCCTGAAACACCAGGCTGTCCAGGTTGACCTCGAAATCCTGATGGACCCGGTGAACCTTGAAATCCTTGAGGTCCGGGTAATCCAGCGACACCTTTAAGGCCAGGTTGGCCTTTGCTTCCTTGAGATCCAATCAGCCCTGGTTGACCTTGAGGTCCTTGTTGTCCTGGTACACCCCGATCACCTTGCATTCCTTGCTGACCTGGTATTCCCGGAGTACCTTGTTCTCCATTTATTCCTTGTAGACCTGGATCACCGGTTGCACCTCGAACTCCAGGTTGCCCAATAGGTCCTTGAGCACCAACAGGACCTTGCTGACCGGCCACTCCCTGAAGACCTCTCTCCCCTGATGGACCTGCGAAACCAGGTTGACCAGTGGAACCTATTTGACCAGGAAGACCTGGATCTCCATTATTTCCTGGAGTTCCTGGTGCACCTTTATCACCAGAGGGACCAGGAAGTCCTGGTTGTCCTGATATTCCTATATCTCCTGGTGAACCTGAACTACCAGGCAATCCTCTTTGACCAGGCTGACCAGGACTTCCATTAGGACCAACTTGACCCTGCAAACCAGGAATGCCCTTATCACCTGGCAAACCCTGAGCTCCAGTGCTTCCTTGAGCTCCAGGTAATCCTGGTAGTCCAACTTCACCAATAGAACCCGGTCTTCCAGCGGAACCTTTTTGAATTAAATAAATGCAACAAAATCGTGGAAAAAGAGAGGAAGAGCAAACAATAGCATATTTATTTACGGATACTATGTAAAATAATAAAAAACACACACACATTTATAGATATTCATTGCTATAAAAACCTTGTAATCCTGTTGCTCCTACCAGTCCTTGAGCGCCAGATATTCCTATATCTCCTGGTAATCCTTTTGGACCTTGAGAACCAGCATCACCAGTAGCTCCCTGAGCCCCTTGGGCTCCTTGAGGTCCTGTAGGTCCTTGAGGACCAGGATTTCCTTGGATTCCGTTATCTCCTAGTTGTCCTCGTGGTCCTTGAACACCTCGGTCGCCAGGCAAACCAATAATTCCTGTCAAACCGACAGGACCTGGCACACCCGGTGAACCAGTAGGACCTTTTGGCCCGGCAGCTCCTTGAGAACCTGGCTGACCGGCATCACCAGGTAATCCCGTGTCACCAGGAGCTCCTTGGGGTCCTATAGTGCCTGGAGAACCAGAAGGTCCGGGCTGTCCAGAAGAACCTGTTCCTCCAGCAGTTCCACGATCTCCAGTTGGGCCAGGTGAACCAGGTTGCCCAGCTGGACCTAAAAACCACATTGTAAACTTTAGCAAAATATTCATAAATTATTTGAGTCATCAAATCTTATTAAAATTTTCGTCATCATTCATGGAACACTATTTAGAAATATATAAAAAACAAACGTAATAGAGATCAATCAGTCTATGTAAATTAATAAAAAACTAAATAAATAAACAACATGAATAAAAATACCTTGAGGGCCTTGTGAGCCTGATTGACCTAGTGCTCCTGGTTGTCCTCTCGGACCTATCGGTCCTACGTCTCCAGGCAAACCAATTGATCCCGGTGATCCCATAGGACCACTATTGCCTGTATCTCCTTGAGGTCCTTTCAAACCTTGGTTACCTTGTGGTCCAGGTTGGCCTGGAAGTCCAGGAGAACCTGAAATTCCAGGTTGACCTCTTGGACCATCTTGACCAGGCTGACCTTCAAAGGCAAAAAAAAAACATTAATATAATAACAAATAATTAAAAATTTTAAAAAGATAATGCAATAGACTGTTTGTAGTAAATTTGTCCATCTGAAAATTTACATACTCTAAAACAGAAATGATGAATAGTAGATTTTTCTAGCATAAACAAAATTTAAATTCTAGTAAATGAATGACAAGTTATTATGTAAACAGCGGAATAAAAATAAAAAAGGAAGAGGATACAACAAATTAAAAATTCAACTTGGTGACTAGTTAACTTCCAATGATATTTAACATCAATTAGTAGCCAATAAGCGTAATGTATAAAAATAAAAACTTGTAACGCTTTTTTTGAAATGTGCATTAGCAAAAAAATTCATCATATTATTAATAATAATATAAACATTTATATAGCGCCATAGACAAAGTTGCTTCAGAAGCGCCCGGTGCATGTGTGCACATATTGAAAAAATGAGTTTTTTTATTTATTCTTAAGAAGGTTCATCGAGAATATTGCCTTAATGCGATAAGTGACTCAGTTTACTCATTCGGCGCGACACGACGGTAGCTGCGGTAAGAGAAGTGTGATATGGCGATGTTCAGGAAGATTTCTGTTCATAGCGCGATATGAGGTCTTGTAAATATGCTGGAAATATTGATATATCATTTTGAAAAAAAAATGGAATAGCTGGTGAAAGAAAGCTTGTTGAAGTATGTTTGAGCTTCCTTTTAAGTCATCTAAAGTTTTTTGAAAGATAAGCGGGATGCTTGTTAAATTGTATATCTATTGAATACATCAGATAAAATTGATGAAGTGAAGGTAAGTAGTTTATTGATTGCATACTTTGATTCCATATACTAGGAAAAAAAATATTCGCTATAATTATTGTAACAATCAAAAAAACTTTGATGTGCGGCTGATTTTATAGAAAAAATCTGGTTTACAAAAACGTTTGTTTGTTGCGTACAAACCAAAAAATGACAACATCAAAGTAAAAACTCGTAACGTTTTAAGCAATAACTTAGACAACCAAATTGTAATATTCAAATAAATTGCCAAATATTAACCTCTTGGTCCAGGAAGTCCTTGTTCTCCTCTCGAGTTTGATGTGCTTCCAGGAGGACCCGCAGGACCAGTGGCACCCGTATCCCCAAAATTTCCCATCAAACCTTTCTGTCCAGACAAACCTGTTGCTCCAGCAGGTCCGACAGATCCAGGAAGACCAGGTTGACCTCTATCTCCAGGTATACCTTGAGGTCCTGGAGAACCAGTGTTTCCTGTGGCTCCAGTTGAACCAGATGAACCTCGTACACCTTGAACACCAGAAAAACCAGGATTTCCAGGTTGACCAACTAAACCTGGAGCACCAATATTACCAGGCTGTCCTCGGTCACCAGCAGGTCCTGGAAAACCACTTGGTCCAATCGGTCCTTAATTGAGTGATTACATTTTCAACTTGAACAAACATTATGATAAACACGCCTACATGCACGCCCGCAAACACACACACACACACACACACACACACACACACACACACAGACACACACACACACATTTATTTATAATTCAAATTCACACATAAACATTTCTCGAAAAATAATTTACATAACATACAAAACATTGTTCTAAAACAGTGCACTATTTATCACAAATAATACAACTGACCGGACCAGCACATGCAAAACCAGTAATATACAAAAGACAAAAATCATTAACAAACCAGCTAGTCAAAAACAGTACCATACACGAAAAATAAGATATTAAAACACTACTAATAATTACAACAAATAATAATAACAACAATAGATTATAATCCAAATAAGCTTGATTGAAAAAATAGAATTTAAGACGACGAAATGCAAAATAGGATATTAAGTAAAAATAAAACACTACTAATAATAACAACAAATAATAATAATAACAACAACATAAGCTTGATTAAAAAGATTAAATTTTAATTAAAATAAAAGAATATAATAAAACCTTGAGGTCCTTGAGGTCCAGAAGGCCCGGAAGGACCTTGGAATCCTTTATCTCCTGGAACACCGGTAGCACCTTGTGCCCCTTGTGCACCTTGCACACCAGTAGCACCTTGCTGACCTGCTAAACCTGGCGAACCTATTTGTCCCTTTGGTCCAGCTGGACCTTGAAGACCTTTAGAGCCAGTTAATCCTTGAGCTCCTCTATCACCAATTATTCCATTCAAACCTGGCAAACCAATTGGTCCAGGAAGACCAGAAGGTCCTTTAGCTCCCTGTTGACCAAGAGACCCTGGAGAACCTCTTGGACCTTGCGAGCCTGGCAATCCTTTAGAACCAGGCAAGCCAGAATCTCCAGTAGCTCCTGTTGCTCCAGTGTAACCAACACCCCCAACTTGTCCGGTAGGCCCAATAGGGCCAGGTAATCCAATCTGACCATTTGGACCTACTGCTCCTGGCTGTCCTGGTTGTCCTTGAGATCCTGGCCGACCAGGATTTCCTTTTAGTCCTGGAGCTCCAATTGAACCAGTGGCACCTTGAGAGCCAGGCAAACCCAAATCGCCAGGTAAACCATTTTGTCCAGATAATCCCACTTGACCTTGAACATTTTATATAAAAAATGTTAACGAAATGACAAAATAATTATATAAAATGAAAACTAACACTGCTAATTTTAATATGAAAAAAATGGTTTTTAAAGCCTTTTTTCACCAAGATAAAGTTACAATTGGAAACATTTCGATGAATAAGAATAAAAAATTTCTAGTGGGTTCATACTTTCATACTTACAGTTTTCATTCAAAACTTATAAAAGCATGTAATTAAAATAAAATCACAACTTTAAACTAGTTTAATAAATAGTGAAAAAGTTAACAAAAAATAACTAAAAATACCTGGGTTTCCAGTGGGTCCAGCTGATCCGGGATCCCCGGTATCCCCAGGTTGACCCTGAGGTCCTTGTTGTCCAGGAGAACCTTGCTGACCATTTGGTCCAGGAGCTCCTGTATCGCCTCTAGGCCCTGGTAAACCTCTGATACCCGAAGGACCAATAGGACCAGGAGTTCCTTTATCTCCCATAACACCTTGGACACCGGGAAGTCCAATTAAACCCATTGCTCCATTTGGTCCTGGAAAGCCTTGATCTCCTGGAGATCCTTGCAAACCTGGAGATCCTTGAGGACCTGGCAAGCCTGGCGACCCTTGCAAGCCTCTTTGTCCTTGTGTTCCTGGCAATCCAGTATCACCAACAACGCCAGGAAATCCAGTGGCACCTTGAGGTCCACTTGGACCAGGCAATCCACTTGATCCAGTAGCACCATTTGACCCAGGAGATCCTGGCTGCCCTTTTTGCCCTTGGAAACCTTGAGCACCTGGTAATCCAATGAATCCAGCACTACCAGGAACACCCGGTGCCCCTTTATTACCTTGTTGTCCTAAATTACCATTTAGCCCTGGAGCTCCTGTTGCACCAGAAGCCCCTTTAGGTCCTTGCGGACCTGGACTACCAGGCAATCCTTTTTCTCCAGACGGTCCAGGCACACCAATTTGACCAGTGGCTCCAGTCGAACCAGGTAATCCAATATCACCAGATTGACCAGACTGCCCAGGACCGCCCGTAGAACCTTGAGCACCAGGAGCGCCTTTATTTCCTATAGTTCCTGGCTGTCCAGGTTGTCCTTTTTGTCCTGGCTGACCTCTATCTCCAACCAATCCAGTAGCCCCTTGGGAGCCTGGAGCTCCAGGACTTCCTTTATCTCCTTGATTTCCAATAGGACCAGAGTTTCCTTTATTTCCAGGTGCTCCTAGGGATCCAGGTAACCCCATTTCTCCAGGAAGACCTGTAGCTCCAACACTACCGGGTGATCCTACAGGACCTGACAATCCTGGATTTCCTGGTAAGCCTTTAGGACCAGGAGAACCAGGTTGACCGGGATTTCCATTTGAACCTGGAGCTCCTGTATCTCCAATTAATCCAGGTAAGCCAGTTGCACCCGCAATTCCTGGATTGCCATTGATTCCAGGTATACCTCGATCTCCAGGTTGGCCTGGTTGGCCAGTAGCTCCGATAGGACCTGAAAGTGTAAAAAATTGAGTTCACCACATCGTTAAAACATACAGTTTTACGAAAATAAAAATTTCAGAAAGTATATGGTAGATCAACTTTTATGATCCTTTTATTTTACGTCATCGTTTTTTATTTTAATTCAAAAACTACGTAAAAAAATATAAAAAGATAATAAAAAAATGAATGAATTCAAATTTTATAAATATGAGTAAAAACAAATACAAATAATTCAACGCACAAAAAGAAAAAAATAAATGGTTAGGAAAATTAATTAAAATTATATTAGAGAAACAAGGAAATAAAAAAAAGAAATAATAAGTTTGGTAGGATTAATGATACAAAAAATCAGTACAGTAAAAAGAAAAACATATGTGCTATGAAGTAAAGAAGTCGACTGACATAAAAAGGTTCAAATTAGGAGACAATCTTGCCAACTCGATAATTATGTCTAAAAGGTTTTTCAAATGTAGTTGCATATATTTAATATTTATTTAATCGGCTAATAAAGTAACTTAGAAGATTGAATAACAATTGTAACAAACGAATGGACAAATAGACAACGGTAATGCAACTCATGAAACTTTTGGATGATTGGACTAAAGCATTAGATGATGGCTACAGGATTGACGTTGTGTACACGGATTTTGAGAAGGCTTTTGATAGAGTGTCACATGGTATTTTAATTGAAAAAAATGAAAGAGTACAGATTGAATGATAGATTGATTACTTGGGTAAACAGTTATTTAAATGGAAGAACATTCAGAGTGAGATTGAATGATAAAATGTCTAGATGTTGTACAGTGTTAAGTGGGGTTCCTCAAGGGAGTGTGCTGGGTCCTATATTATTTCTTTTATATGTTAATGATGTGTTTAATTTGTATAAAGATGCAAAAGGTCCAGCATTGTATATGTATGCAGATGATGCAAAATTGTACAGAATTGTTAGCTCAGATGATGATATAATGGTATTACAAAATGGGTTAAATGACTTGACTAGTTGGTGTGCAAAGAGTAATGTAAAATTAAATGAAAAAAATGTGTGGTAATGAAATATGGGTATAACCTACCTGAAAATAATTTTCAATATAAAATTGGTCATCATACATTGGATAATGTCGATCGTATTAAGAACTTAGGTCTAATATTTGATAATTCATTAAAATTTGTTGATCATATTCCTAAGAATGTTAAAAAAGCATATTCTTTGTTAGGTTTAATAATTAGAAATTTTAAAGGTGTTAGTGATCATTATTTTATAATGCTTTATAAATCATTAGTCAGATCTCATCTAGAGTATGCAGCTTGTGTTTGGTCTCCGTGGACAGTACAGAAAACAGAGGTGATAGAAAGGGTCCAGAAAAGAGCAACAAAGTCGATCAAGGCCTGCGAACATATGAAATATGAAGATCGTCTAAAATTTTTGAGCTTGCCAACACTGAAATACAGACGCATTAGAGGGGATCTCATCATGATGTATAACTTGTTTAGAGCTAAAGATCAACACGACCTCCCAGTAATGATGAAAGCTGGTGGACGAACAAGGGGACACGAAATGAAATTGACTGCTCTTCCATTCCATAAGAACTTGAGGAAACAATACTTTATCAATAGATCAATTTATATCTGGAACAATCTGGGTGTTGATGTTGTGAATGCTGATAGTGTGAATGATTTTTAAAAAAAGTTGGATAATTATCTTATGAATGCCAGGTTTATGTATGATTGGAGGGCAAATGATATTTGATGTGACATTGGCTATTTGTGAGATTGGGATATATTTGAATTTTTTATCAGTATGTATCGCTATTATCGTCAATTTATTGATAAGGATATGTGATTAATTTATCTATATTTGTTTTTTTATTATCATTTTTTTTTACAAGGTTTAATATATTATTTGACTTATAAGAACATTAATTATTTTATTCAGTATAAACTCATAGGTTTATTTAATTTATTGTTTTAAAATTGTCTTAGTTTTGAGAAGGCACAGAGACGTTTCGTCTTCGCCTTTGTTTAACGTAATGGGAACATCTTTTATTTTTCACCATAAAAAAAAACAGACAATGATAAATAAATAAATATATATATATATATATATATATATATGTATATATATATATATATATATATATATATATATAAGTTAATGATAATTAAATAATGCGCAATGATAAAATTTTTAAAAATTGTATAAAATAATATTAAAGGTTAAGACCATTTTGCTCATTGTGAAGTTAAGTGCAGAACGGTAAAATATATTTAATTACCATCATAGCTTGTTCCTGTCACAGTAAATGTCATACGATAATCTTATAACAGTGTTTATCAATTTATCATTTATCATGGAACTTTAAACAGTGACAAATTAAAATTATTGTAAAAACCAATAAGCGTTATTTCGAATGAGTTTATAACTATTGAACAATGTTCATAGTCTTTATTTAAACAACAATGCAAATTATTAGAGTATTTATTTCTCTTGTATTGCCTAGAGGATCCTAGATTGGTTTCATGGCACACAGTTAATTCTAGAATCTCAATTTTGTTATTTTGAAGTATGGCGATATCGGGTCGTAAAGTGTTGAATAATTGAGATATTGGGCGAATACCCTCAGACTCTAAATCTACAAATATGCGGCAATTGGCTGGAGCGGATATTTTCAGCCAATTGATGATCACGGCCAATATCTTGTTGTGTCTTTCAGTATATCTTGCCAGAGCGGATGTAGAACCACAATTGGAAACTACATGCTTATTTGTTTGTCGAGAATCACAGAGAGGGCATTGAGGGCTTTGCGTTTTACCCCATCTAAACAAATTTGCGTTAGTAGGCAACTGCTGAACTAAATACTTCCTAGCAAATTTGTAGAGGACTCCGGCAAGATTTTCCGTGGACTCTGACCAACGGGATATGTTGTTGGCTTTGATGAAATTTTTTATATTTAAAATTAGTGAACCTTGACTCTGTAGTGAGAAAACATGATTTAAGCTACATTCAATTCTTTTTTCTTCCAAATGACTAAGACTTCCAAACGACGACTTTATTTGTCCGTATTTTAAGAGCGTATTATCTACTTTGATAAAATCGATCGCTGATTCTTTATAAAGACATAGAATCTCTTTGTTGCTATTAGTTTTAAAATAGTTCCGAAGTTTCAGTCTCATTTTTTCTGTCGCATCTTTTAATGAAATGATGCCATGACCTCCCATTGTTGTTGGCAGAGAAAGTAGTTCAGACACACAACCGCTGATTGGCATATCTATCCACTCCCTGACAGCGTTAACAATCAGATTATCTAGGTTCTCTGATATCCATGTCAGCGAAAAGTTGTAGCTGCGGAGTTCAAAGTTCAATTGAGACGGTATAAATTTTCTTAAAATTTGTAGTTTTTGCTGTGGATCCACTTTCAACTTTGAAGTCGTTTCCAACAGTTGAACAACCTTAGCTTGTATCAGAGTTTTTGCTTTGAGGTCGTTGCATTCGAAATCATACAGTTTACCAAGGTATGTAAACGCTTGGCCAATCTCTACGTTAGGTATTGCCACATCGTCGATCGTCAATCTTGGCAGAAATTGCTCATAAGTACCATCTTTCTTCCTCATTCCAAACGAACAACATTTATCGACTCTCATCTTCATCTCTGACCAATTGCACCAAGTTTTTGTGCGCCTTTTGAGCTATGTGCTATGATTGCTGAGTCGTCGTCAGCGAATTGTAGCCATAATCTAGCGTTTAAGTCGGAAGTTGGGCCCCACAGATAGCCATATTGTTTGTATTCTTGACTGTCTAGAATTTTCATGAGTGGATTGAAGCAAATATTGAAGAGTAATGGTGAACATGGGTCGCCTTGAAGCACCCCTTTCCTGACTGGTATTGCTTGCGTGAGTTCACCGTTGATTGACATTGATATTGAGTAGTCGGAATATATTGATCATATTAATTTATGAAGTGATTGGGGAACATGATGATATACTAGAATTGAAGTGATGAAGTGATAATAATAATATTAATAATAATAATAATAGAATGATTTCAAAAAGATGTAATTAAAAATCTGAAATAAAAAAAGCTGACCTGATGGACCATTGTTTCCTGGCAAACCGGGTTGTCCAGGATCACCAACTAAACCTGCAAATCCGGTATTACCAGTGTCTCCGGGCAAACCATTAGGACCAGATAATCCAGTAGCGCCTCTATCTCCCTGTTGTCCTTGTGCACCAGGTTGGCCCATAGAGCCTGGTTGTCCTGGTAATCCAGTTGCTCCTTGTTGTCCAGGATTGCCAGAAAATCCTCTCGCACCTTTTTCGCCTTGTGCACCAGTTGCTCCCGTACCTCCAGTAGCCCCAGCTACACCCGGATTACCTGCTAAACCTTGTGACCCAGGTTGACCTGATTGCCCAGCAGGACCTGTTGGTCCTTGCACACCTTGAGGTCCCGGTTGACCAATTGAGCCAGGCAGCCCAGATGCTCCAGTATCACCTTTATTTCCCTGAGGTCCAGATGAACCAGCCGCCCCAATGTCACCTAAATAAATTTTGGATTTATCCTTAATTGTTACACAATATCAACAGTTTATGGAAATAATAGGCATTTTTATGGCATTTTTTCAAACGTGATGCTTCAGTTTTCACTTTTGAATTGTTAATTTTCACAAGTAGATTACAAATTCAAGAATATTTAAAAAAAATAAAAATTCAAATTAAAGAGAAAGCTAACGGAACGTAATACATAAAAAAGTGAAAATTGAAGATGTCAGAAGCGTATAAAATGTTTGAAGAAAAAACTAGATAGGTTTAAAAAAAAAGACAAACAACAATGGGAAAACGATGAACATTACAGATTTTTTGTTAAAAAACAGAAATAGATAAAATTAGTCACAGAGCAAGGGTTAGATAAAGGATCATATCATCGCTTTTTTTTGCATAATATAACAATGAAGAAAAAGTGAGTGAAAAAATAAAACACAACATAAAACACATATATAATGAAACAAAAATTAGAAGAGATGAAAAATTTAATCAGAAATAAATTGGAACTTACAACAGCTATGACATAAAAACAAGAGTCAACAGTTTAGAAACAGCAATCATAGCAGCTGGAAAATTAGTCAATCTAGGAACCCTAAAAACCGCAAATAAGAAAAAAGAAGTTTGAACATTGGTGAGAAAAAGTGATGGAAATAAAATGAAACAAAAGGAATAACAGCCAAAAAATTATTGATGTTATAAAATGGTCTAGGGCGGAAATATTGAATTCAATATAAAAAGAGAACCAAAAATAAATTAGATTTCAGAAGATATACAAAAATGTTGAATACCATCAACCTCATCGGCCCCTCAAAAGATTTAATAAAGAGTATCACGAATGACTGAATGACAGAAGAGCAAATTTATAAAAATATTTTAATTAACAATTAAAAAAATTATTTTATGGCAATATTTTAATGGGCCTTCTAAACATACCCTGAGCTCCTTGATCACCAGGTTGACCTGGTTGACCTGATGTGCCGGTATCACCTTGAGGACCTTGGACGCCTGAAGCCCCAGTTGCACCAGTAAATCCAACCGATCCTCTGTCACCCTGTACACCTGGCTGACCAACAGGACCAAGAAAACCTTAAATAAAGTTATGTCAACAAAACTAGTGTAATTCGGAAAAATGTGAGTATTTGTTTAAACTGGTATAGTTATTAATATTTACCCGCAGATCCGGGGGTTCCTGGTGAACCAGTAGGTCCCTTGTCACCAGTAGCACCTTGATCACCAGGAGATCCAGGTACACCTGCTGGTCCTTGAGAGCCTACAGGTCCAACATCACCCTGTGCTCCAGCCGGACCGACGGGACCTGTGGCTCCTTTAGCACCAGCAGGGCCTTGTGCACCCTGAAAACCAGGTGCTCCTGGAAGTCCATTGTCACCTGGAAAGCCTGGTAAACCTGTGGCACCTTGAGAGCCAGGCAATCCATTCACGCCTGGTAAACCAGCTGGTCCATTATCTCCAGGTATACCAGGATTACCTTTTATTCCCTGTGCCCCTTTGTCTCCTTGTGGACCTTGCTGTCCAGGCTGACCTAAAGCACCAGGTTGTCCGGAAGAACCAGTAGAACCTTGGCTTCCAGATAAACCAGTTGCTCCAGTAAAACCTTTATCTCCTTGCAAACCGTTGTCTCCTGGCAATCCAATGTTTCCCTTAGGTCCTGGCTGTCCAACAGATCCAGAAGATCCTGGCTGACCAATAGGACCAGTGTCTCCTTTTGCTCCTGCCGGACCTATAGCTCCTTGCAGGCCTGGATTTTAGCACACCATCATTATAAATAATGTTATGAGCAACAAAATCAGATTTTTGATGTACTGGTAAGTTTGTTGAAAAAAATATACCTGGTTGACCAGCTTGTCCATTTTGTCCTTTGTTACCTACACTTCCTTTTGCCCCAGGTTGACCTTTTGGTCCTTGAGGTCCCTGGTTTCCTGATAATCCTGGAACTCCTTGGAGACCCTTATCTCCTTGTGACCCTGGACTTCCATTGTTGCCCGGAGAACCCGGTGTTCCAATAGATCCTTTAGGTCCCTGAGGTCCTGGGGCACCTTGTTGCCCTACAGACCCTGGGGCACCTTGAAATCCAGAAAACCCAGTAGCTCCACGGTCACCAGATTGTCCTGGAGAGCCAGGTTGTCCTGATGGACCAAGCAATCCAGTTGCACCTTGAATCCCCTGAGCTCCTGGAGCACCATTGTTGCCAGGATTTCCTGGTGAGCCATCCAAACCAGGTTGACCAGTGAAGCCTGTACCGCCTGATGGTCCACGTTGACCCGGATTTCCAGGAGATCCAATTTGTCCAGGTGTTCCTAACATTTATAAATAGATTTTGGTTAAAAAATTACTATTGAGTAATAAAAATTATGTTATTTACCAGCTGAACCAGGTTGGCCAGTTGATCCCGTTGCACCTTGATCTCCTTGTGGACCGGGTGATCCAGCAATACCTTTTTCTCCTTGATTACCTGGCTGTCCTGGATTTCCTTGAACACCAGGACTTCCAGAAGATCCAGTGTCTCCTGAAAAACCTGTAGCTCCAGTAAAACCTGGTTGTCCCTGAACACCCAATTCACCTCTAAAATTTTTTTTCAAAGTTTATATATTAGTAAAAAAAAATCGGAAATTTATGAAATAAATGTAAGTAATTGATTTATAAATTTTTGTCACAAAAATAAGTGGATTAATTATGTCAACTCTGTAAACTTCAAAACAATTAATGAGTTTATAATGCGTTAAAATTATTAATAATATGACTTATTCGAGTAAATTTTTTTTTCAAAACATACCAAATTTTTATTTCCATATAACTATATGATATAAAATTACAACTATTTATATTCAATTAAAAAACCAGCTTTACTAATGCGTTAATATGAAAACTTTTTAACATAAAATGTTACAACGAGATAATACAACGCAGGATAATCTAAAAATCTAAATTATTAATAATAAATTGTATTATAAAGCTCGTTTATGAAAATTTTTTTAGTTTTTCTGGTTTATAAAAATTCTACAGCAAAATTTAATATATGGTGTAACATAAATTTTGAAATTAAATGAGCCATTATTATTCGGTATAAACTAACACAATAATCGTAAAATTAGTGTCAACAACACTACGAACACCAATCTAAAAACTTCCTTTTTTGTTTATTATAATTCTTTTTCACATAAAAAAAACAATAATGGATTTTTTAAGTAATTTAATTTCACTCTCTTTTCTGAAAAAATATTCTAACGCTAACAAATGATTATGTTCTGTGGTTGGTTAAATTTGACCGGCCAACGGAATTATTTTGGCTTCACTTCATTAAATTTATATAAAACGAACGTAAAGAAAAAAAAAGTTTTCTAAGATCTAAACTAAATCAATATAGTCAACATTTAAATAATGAAGTCATCTTCAACATGGCCGTCTATTGCATGTTTATTTTATTTCATTTCCACTTCAAACTTGCTCAGAACAGGTGTTTACAAGATCAAATTAATTGACAAAAGTTGAAGTTATGAAAAATTTGTTATATTAGTATTTAAAGTTTAAATTTTATTATAGATAAAAAGACGCCACATTTTCCATAGCAAAGGGTTTTTATATGCAAATAAATACCAATTTGAATTAAAAAGTTTAAAACATCTTTTCTGAATTTATGGTTTGTCTTGTCTTTCACATTTTTTTTCCAAACAAGGCGTGTAATCTGATAACGGTATGGCACGACATAGTTACAAGGTGGGCGTTACGCTATACTGATTGCATAAAATTTCAAAATATATAGCCTGAAGGTTTTGCACTAAACTACGTAGAATCATACCAGATAAGGTCATTTCATGGCTTCAATAAAATTTATAAAATGTGAAAAAATTAAATCAGATATTTTAAAAATGAAATTTTGTCCAAGAAGTAAATAAAAACAGAAAAAAATAAAGAAAATAGTTCAAAAAACATGCAAATTTGGTCTAACCCATTACACAACAAAAGGATAAGAAAGTTGAAAGTTTGATTTTTTTGGATAAAAACGTTGTGATAAAGGGGAAGCGCAGTGTTGTACAGGATGGCCTTGAAAAAAAAACCCGTGATACAAACACTGTTTCTCTTTATTGAATAGCTCTAACAAGTTCAGAGCATCTTAAAAATGGGTCTTCACAACTTAATTACTTTAATACAATTAAATCACAAAATCTATACGAATATCCACCCTACTCAATAAACATACTTGTATGAATACGCAGGAAATGCATAATACCCAAGACGTTATTAAAATTTGAGTTTCAGACAGAATTCGAACCAGGTCTATGCGCCACAACAACGATACGAGAACGAAGTGAAATGTATTTTATTGAATTAATTCTAGAGGTATCAACAATAAACAAACACATTGTAAATAACAATGCGTCGAATCAAAGCCCCACGCTTTTGTATGTGATCGACCGAGATATGTCATTGAATTTTAGCCCGGGCACGAAAAAGCAGGACCAGCGCCTTTTAACATTACGCCATCTTGCCGTATGACTACCTCATACTTCTTCCGTATAAGATAATTCCAGACAGCCCTTTGAAAATACATTACAAGTCAATACGTATATAAAGTATCGGAAAAAATCCGCTTACGGAATAAGTCCAGATTTATTAGGTTACCCAAAATAAATTTTATTTTGAATAAAAAACTTGGTCAATCTCAGAAGTTTGAAACAAATTTATCTTATTTGATTTCTGCTTGAGCTTTTAAATGAAATGGTGATCAGCCGATACAAAAGACAACAGAAATGACAATGGTATATAGAACTTACTGAGGGCCCATTGGTCCGGTAGCACCTGTTGAACCAGTGGCACCAGTAAATCCTA